ATTGTAAAACACTTAATGAATGTAGTATTTTGTAAAGTTTCCAGATCACTTCTCACTAACAGGATCCTACCATTTATCTTCAAAAATGCTCAAACTATTAATAGACTCAACGCAAAAGTTTAATATATGATAAATTATCTGGATGAGATTTCACTGTCAGTCACTGTTATTAAACACTAGTAAAGATTTATTCAGTTTTCTAGTAGGTCTATGGTGTGCTACTGATGTTGACAGATATAAGTAGTATGTATCCGCAATCGAAAAAGAAATATCTGGTGGTAGGAGATTAGGAAGATCGAAGAAAATGAGAACACAGATTGTTTGATATGGAAATGAAGGAATAATCAAGTCTGAGACAACTGATGGATATTTTGCAAATGATGTATTCACCGTATGGTTCTTAGATTATACTAGGTGATTGAAAATAAGTAGTGTGTTTTTGATAACTCACTAATAATCGGGTCTTATATGATTTCTTAGTGTTGATGTACAAACAATAAAGTGTGAAAAAAGTGATAACACAAAGGATGGCTCCAACTTTTAATGATTTTCAGGAGTGTTTTAAATAATTGTCAGTCAGGAACAATGTTGAACTTCGTACGTACGTACATCAGTTCGAGTTGCCATACCACAGTAGCACAGAGATGCAGTTGTCGATTCAAATCTTATAGTGGTAGAAGTAGTAAGAGTATAAACAGTAATCGGAAACATTAGGATTTAAAGATGTTAATCAAGGAGTATAATCCAATGAAATCAATTTGGGAAGATAAAAAAGATAGAGACATGAAGAATTCGAAGATTAGAATTCGGCAGAACACAAAGAAGGAAAGATTCACCTTCGCCATTGCAAACAATTTTGAGTCATGTCATTCAATGTCTCTAACAATCGATTGAAAGAACTAACATTGATGTACGCTAAATTTTATGAGCGCTTACTTGACTTTAATTCATGTATTCATTAGAAGGAATACAGATTTTAACTGGTTTCAAAAAGATTAAATGCTCATGAATCACTGTATATCATGAGAATATTGCTGGTTAGCGTTTTTTTAGCGAGTTAGCTTTTCTACGGGATGGGGTCGCTAACCCCATGCCCAACCCTCCTCCTTTACCCGGGCTTGGGACCGGCAGTAACTCTAGAAGAGCTACAGGCGGAGTTATGAGAATATTAATGGCTTTCATTTGGATAATGAATAAAACAGAACGATAGTCTTCTGTTGACATACGTTTTATACTAGTGAATTAAAGATCCGTTTTTGTAGTGAACGAGAATACAAATGAGGACAACCCAATGTATTTGAATACAAAATTACATAACATCTTAGTGAAATCTGAGAACCATACAAATATATACTTCATTTGCAAAATGGCAATCAATTGTATCAAATTTCACTGTTCTCTTGTTTCCATACCAATCATTCACTGTTCTCATTCTCTTTTCTTTGATTTTCTTAACCTTCTATAGTCAGGTATTTCACTTTTCATTGATGACACATACTACTTATATCTGTGAACATCAGTAGCACATACCACAACTTTAGCAACTGCGGTATGAAAATGATATGATCCATATACAGTTCAAAAGTTCTAGAACTGTGTTTATCTGGACTTGGCTTTAAATAGCCAATATAGTAAAATGGTACTTCTTTTTCGGCTTAAAATTCAAGTTATTGAAACACATTTTAAGTGAGACTATAATTTATGGGGGACCTTCGAGCGGCGCTGAAGTGACCTGGGGTTCAATGAGGTTTATGAAGCAGTGTGAAGAATATGGATTATGATTTACAATTGATGGCAAGGGTTAGGATTTAGATTTATGGTTTTCATCACCAATTAACATCAGCTAAAATGCCGAAACTCTATCTAGCCAAATGGATTGAATGAATTTCCCGCCAAAATCCAAGACTTGGTATCCTAAATCTGATTGGTTCATTCATAAAATAGAGTTTTGCCAGAATTTTATTACCAAACTACTTATCATCATTATCATTGATAACTCTTGAGATAACAAGAATTTTATGAGGATGATTTTCTCCACTTCGAAACTAATACCGACCAATCAATTTTCGGCATTCATTGTTCCTCAAATACTTACTTACTTACGCCTGTTACTCCCGATGGAGCATAGGCCGCCGACTAGAATTTTTGTGGTTAGCGTTTTTTTAGCGAGTTAGTTTTCTACGGGATGGGATCGCTAACCCCATGCTCAACCCTCCTCCTTTACCCGGGCTTGGGACCGGCAGTAACCCCCGGAGGAGCTACAGGCGGAGTTCCTCAAATAACAATGATAAATTCTGAATAACTATGGATGAAAGCCTTTATGTGCAATCTCATTTCTCTACAATTTCCTGAATTGTAATTTAATCCTATTGTAACACATCGCTATATCAATTTATCAACTAACACTCGAGTTTGCGCGCAAAATCGAAGGTCTTGTGTTTTAATCCCATATGCGGAATAGTGGATGGACACTTTTGAGAAGTCACATCCTAGAATGAAACGACCGTCTAATGCTTCCAAGTATTCAATGATAATCTTACATTGATCGATTCATGATCTTAATCAAAACTCGACAATCTTCGATACCCTGTTACTGATAATAGTTGATATGTTGAACTTATCAACTATTCATTGCTGGTACTTCCATGTCAATATTGCAGTTGTTTGTCCTTGTGAAATATATAAAGAAACTGACGAATAAATGAATGTATGCTACATTTAAGAATAATAACCCATTATAAGGTTCATTGATGAGTTCAGTGTAAAATGAAGTATTTCTTTTGAAAAGTGTATTAACTATTCATAAAGTATTACTGTACACACTGTACATGACTGTACATTATTTATTTATTTATTTAAACACATAAATATTGGTACAAAGGGGCCTCAGATATACATGCGCCGCACAAATCTCATTTGATTTGTGGGAGGGTTGTGATACTGCCCGGGTGCCCGAACTGAAGCAGGCGGTTTTCTAAGGGAGCCACACCCGGAGCTTTTGACAGAAAGATCTGATCCACAAGGCAGTGGAGCTTGGTGAAGAGATGTAGTCCCATGGTAGCCAATGACCAACGATCGATTCATACTCCATTTGTTCCTTCAGGATAGTGGAGCCTATGTTCACCACTGGTTTAGAATCAGTGTGTTCGAACTCCCCTATGTGAACTTTCGGTGTCCACCAACCCAGTTAGAGTGCCGGACATTCGCTTTTCGTCCTCTCAATTTTTTAAACAATAGTATTGCCACAAGAAGGCAGTGAGTAGGACTTCCGTATCACAGGCTATATCTGCGTAGCCATGTGAGAGTATTTCGAAAGGGAGAGAGGACTCTCCTCACTCTCGGCCGTACCAGGGCATTTGGGGATTGTACATACTTCTAATGAGTTTCAGTATTGATTAATATATTTATATCTTTCACTAGAAAAGTAGATTTTCTCCAGACTTTCTATACTTTGATGACTTTTGTTTTAAAACTGTATTTAACCTTTTATAATTTTAAAGGCTGAACGACATGCTGCTGATTTAGGTTTTCAAGTTGATGCATTATCAGAACGTTTAGATGAAGCTGGAGGTTCTACAACTCAAACTGTAAGTTATTGATTTTCGTGTTTTACCTTTACTCATTAAAATATATAATGAGCTTTAGTTTTATTGAATTGCTCGAGTTCGTTATTAATAAGCGATGACAGGCTGTGTTTTTTCCCTAACTGATTCTGTGGTGTGAGTTACTTATATCCACATAAGTAGTATATGATGATGGTACGACAGTAAAGGTATTTTGGCAGAAGATCGATAAGGAAAGAACGGAATCGAAACGTAGTTGGTATAAAAATACATGAACAATAATCATCGGAGACTAGGGACTGATATTTGCAGAAGGAATGGTCAAGTTTGAGACAATTGATTGATAGTTCGCAAATTAACTGTTTACTATATGGTTGTCAGATTTTACTGAGATACAATACCATTAGTTAATCACTGTTGTATGTATTTTCAACTGAGTTTCATCTTTATTCTAGCCGTTAAGTCACTTCGTTCATTTCGGAAATCACTAAAGAAATCAGGATGCGAGCTCAGTGGTTCTAGAGGTTAAGCGCTCACGCGTGAGATCATGGGTTCAAATCTCGTTAGGCGGGATCATGGATGGGCACTGTTGAGGAGTCCCACAATAGGACGAAACATCTGTCCAGTGCTTCCAGGTTTTCCATGATGGTCTAGCTTCAAAGGACTCATGATTTCACACAAACCTGTATGATAATAATAATAATAATAATAATAATAATAATAATAATAGACAAATGAGATCCTACCAAAACTGAGTTTAATAGCTTCTCAGTTTACTTTCCCATACCTTTTGATGATATTAATCCAACAGACTACTGATTTGCAGAAGTTCCTCTTAGCTGTAGTTCATTACTATACAGTAACATTGATGTACATAATGATATCTCTTGTATAAAGCTGACAACATGCACCAGTTTATTAATAAAGCACTTTACACTTAGGTTATCAAGTAGGCTATAAAGAAAATTACATAACAGTTTGTTTTGATAGATATTTCATTGGATTGATACATTATTCTACTGTCATTGAAGAACTTGTTTCCCGGTTTACCTAAATGATCTAAACTACTTTAAGTCATATTAACCGTTTCTGGGCTTATTTTTTCTGGTTAACGTTTCTTTTTAGCGAGTTAGTTTCCTAAGAGATAGGGATACTGACCCCATGCCCAACCCTCCTCTTTTAACCGGGCTTAGGACCGGCAGTAACACTAGAAGAGCTAGAGGTGGAGTTATGAAAATGAATAAACAAGCTTATATTAAATATTATAACTGAATATAATAAGAAGAGGGTTTGTGGAGATTTTAGTAATTTTATATAGTTGAAATCATGAGTCAATTGAAACTAGACCACCATGGAAAACCTGGAAGCACTGGAAGACCGTTTCGTCCTATTGTGGGACTTCTCAACAGTCCGCATTTACGATCCCGCTTCGCGAGAGAAGCAGTGACCAGTGGAGTTCAACCACGTCTGTTGTGAGGTAGTAACTCACTGAAGGCAATGGTGAACAGTGGCTTAATTTCGTGGATTAGTTGAATTAAGACATTAACACCATTGGATGCCGGCTATCTCAGTGATCTAATGGTTAAGCGGTCGCGTGTGAGACTGATAGATCTTGTGTTCCAATCTCGTGGGGCAGGATCATGGATGAGCACTACTGAGAAGTCCCACAAAACAGTCGTCCAGTGCTTCTAGATTTTCTATAGTGGTCTAGCTTCATGATTTCCCCTATGAATATAATAAAGTTTATTTCCTTAGTAAAATTAATGTCAAATTTTGGCATTCCATATTTCACTTAGCAACAACAATAACAATAACAAAAAAAAAAGAAATCTATAATATTTATTAGTTTACCTATTTTTCATGAACAATTACATGATTGGGTTAACCATAAATGAAGTGCGGTCATACTTCAATCATTCCAAGGTTATTTCTATGATAGTCATATAATAAGAAAACTATTTTACTTTCATAGATCTTTATTAGTATAATATTGCCATACTACTGTTTAAGCCCAGGTTCAAGTACAGATACAGGGAAAAAGTAGTGATATTCGAAACCTTGCTTACTTTCACTTTATAAATGACCATATATGGCAATTTTTTAAAGATATAACCTTAGTTACAAGTATCATACACACTACATAGCAAAGGAATGTGCTAATGTTAGAAATAGTATAAATATGTACACACTTCTTGCATGTACACACACACACTCTCTCTCTCTCTCTCTCTCTCTCACACACACACACACACAAAGGCACCAAAGTTATTAATAATAAAAGACAGAAATATAATGTGTGCTATTTGTGCTGGAATTGGAAAAGTAAGTTTTCCCAACCTAATGCATGTCTATCCTTCTTCTCTTCCTATGTTTAATTACCTGTTAACTAACAAAAAATTTGTTTTCAATTAAATGGATAGAACAATGTATTTATACCCTAACCTTTCCATTTGGAAGAAAAATATGTGTGTAGATTGGAATGACAATCGATAAATTAAAAAAGTCCCATCCACTTTTTTTCAACCATATATAGGACTTAGTAGTTAAGTGGATAACGTGATGGCGTTTGAAACGAACAGTTTTGGGTTCGAATCCCAGAGTGAACATCAACTGAGAGATGTAGATACATCCAGCTGACGAGTCTCAAATAGAACGAAACACGCATCAAACTGGAAACCACTATCCATCATTGCTTATAAAACTTGTGACTTAAGGCAATATCGAGGCAGTCAGCATAAGATGCATATATGCCAAGTGACTGATCAATTGCAATCCTAAATAACAATTTGAAGATACAAGTAAACAACACCAAATGCTTATGGGTTTAAATTATCAAAGTAATGTAGATTTGATGGCGTTTAAGTGTTGTTGAAAACAAATGAAAGGAACCTATAAATTCACTTCGTATTGTTTACTTGAATCTTCCCATTGATGATTAATACTGTAATTTAACAGTCTCTTATTCGCAAATGTGTATACTGTGTGGATTGCCTCGATATTGCCTTAAGTCATAGCATTATAAGCAAAGATGGTTAGTGGCTAGCAGTGGAACCTAGAATGTGTGTTTCGCTCTATTTGAAACTCGTCAGATGGATGTACCTCCACTCCACAGTTCATATTCACTCCGGGACTCGAACCCAATACCGTTCTCTTCAAATGCCATCGTGTTACCCACAACTTACCACTAGGTTATCAATCCATTCATTATAGACATAAGAAATTTGTAATCATAACTGTTGAGTTCATTATTAAAATACTATATAAATGATCTCAGTCGGTTTGCTACTATTATTATCCCAATCCATAGTAAAAACAATATCCAGTTTCAATACACTTTGTGTTGTTTACTTGTATCTTTCTATTGTTATTTTGGATTGCAATTGATCAGCTTCTTGTTTGCATATGTGCATCCTGTGCGGACTGCCAGGTGACGAGTCCCGGATAGGACGAAACGCACCTCTTGGGTTCCACTGCTAGCCACTAATCATCTTTCCTCACAAAGCTTGTGACTTCAGGCAATATCAAGGCAATCAGCACAGGATGCACATATGCCAACAAAAAACTGATCAACTTCAGTCCTAAACAATAATGGAAAGATACAAGTAAACAACACCAAACGAATTTAAACTTTACCCCATTACGCAAGCAGACGGCTATCAGGACTCATTAGTTAAGTAGATAATGTTATGGCGTCTGAAGTGAACGGTTCTGGGTTCGAGTCCCAGAGTGAACGTCAACTCTGCGGTGTAGGTACATCCAGTTGACGAGTCTCAAATAGGACGAAAAGCGCGTCAAACTGGATTCCACTGCTAGCCACTATCCATCTTTGTTCATAATATCCAGTTTCATTGTAACCCCACAAATTAAAAACTTGTGTCATGGGTTGTGAAATCCATAATGTTGAAGATTCATATCTACCTATGACATGAAGTAACAATTGTGCTACATTGATAAGTGATTCGAACTGGAGGAGCTGAATCATTTAATTTCAGTTTATTGACAACATATTGTCATACACAATCTAAGGTCTCGTTAATAAGCTTTTGATTTTATGTAATAGCATTGGTATTCAGTATTGAACTGAGGTGAAACGACTGTTCACTGTATTGACGTTTGCCAACTCCTTAATCGTTGATACTTTACTACCATCTGTAACCAGGAGAAACTGGACAACCGTTTTGTCCTATTATGGAACTTCACAGCAGTTGAATCTCTGGTGTCAAGGTCATGAATAGTCATTAATATGGAGTCCCATATTAGGACTAAAGCTATCCATTGCTTCTTTATTTTAAATTTTTGTTTAGCTAAGGTCGTTTAAATAGTTTTGACTATGAAGTCTCAAAAACCTCTATAGTAATAGTCTTTGTGTAAATGATCTTTATATAGTTCAATACTCGATTCACGAATGTTTCTATGAATCAAGTTAACGAGTGAGTTAAACGGTAGACTGATAGGTCCTGGGTTCGAATCTCGCGAGGTGAGGTCGTGGATGCGCACTGCCACTGAGGAGTCACACAATAGAACGAAACGGCCATTCAATATTTCCAGGTTTTCCTTGGTGGTCTAGCTTCAATTGACTCATGCTTTCAACTATGAAAGTAGAATAAGTGTTGAACCATTTTCAAAGAATTGAATAGAGAACATAACGTGTTCTACTAGTTAATTGAAGTTACTTTATTCATTATAAGAATAGTGTAAATGAATAGGTATCTAGGCTTTTAATTCCTTTTTGTATCAACCTATAATATTTCCAAAGGCTTCAAATACCCCTGTACAGTATTTGCTTCTTCTTCTTCTTCTGCCCTCATATTTACTAATAAAACCTATCTACTTCTTTATTCAGATGATAACTGAGAATGTGGTAAGATTAGTTAGTGATTAGTTTACTACTTATTACCATCCCCCCTCAATTTTTTATTATTTTTTTTAGATAATTAGTAGTATTGTGTGTATTTCTAAAAATTTTTTATTAGGTTGTTTATCTTATATTATCAGTGTTATTATCCTCATTTTTACTATTCTCAACACTTAAATGTCACATATTTATACTCAAACTTAGTCTTAGATACAACAATACAGAAAATAAGTATTGCCATGGTAACTATTTACCCAATTAGTTTGTTTTTTTAATTTTCGGTTGTTTCTATCATAAGTACTTGTTCTTTCATTATAACTTAGATACAAACGAATATTCTTAAGTAATATACTTAGATGAGTACGTCTAGGGATGAAAAGATTGTATTATGGAAGTTTGAATAAGAGCCAATGAACATAAAGCTGAAGTTAAGGACTTTATTAAAGTGATTGACGGCAATTGAAATCTATCACGTGGTTATAGTTACCTGGTAGAAAACCTAAACCTAGACTTCAGGGTTTTGATGCCCGTCAGTAAAGAATACCTGCAATCTTAGGAAATTTGATGCTCACTATGAAGTTCAGGGTTGCATACCTCAGCTTAATAGTCTGAGTTGTTACCGTTAAGCTACTAGGACTGCTACTGAATAATTACCAGTCAATATAAATTAAAAACTGTATACCACAATACGCGATCACAGATCGTAATATTTATACACGCGATATAAATGTGTATATGAACGGTACGAATGGTCCACCAGCGTGTTTGGTACTTGAGTGGTTGCGCCACAGGATTGGGCTGTACTGTTCGGATTGTAGCGTTGAAGCCTATATAGTGTCTGGTTCTACTATAGGGCGATGTTGAGCTGTAGTGCTTGGGTTAGGCCTGGGCAATGTCTGGCTCTCATGTTAAACGGGATTGAGCTATACTGTTTGGGTTGCTGCGTGAAAGTCTGGATGGTGTCTGGTTCTCTAAAAACCTGTGCAAGATTACCCTGGCCCATAAGGGTATTAATATAACTGTGAAAATTATATATACCACGATACAGTGGTCAAGAACTTAGTAGCTGATATGGAGATCTCTATATATTGGCTAAAAGATTACTTCCATGTAAATAATAGTAAATTATGTGTTTAGTTCTTAGGACTATTTTTATATACAGATTTCTCAATAGTCCGACAATAAAGTTACTTGATTTGGAGAACTTCAAACTTAGACTTCGTCATTTTTGATAAGATTGAATTTCAGCTACCTCATAGAGAGGATGATTTTCCATATCTAATATTGTAATGATCTGATTGAATGAAAAGTAATTCTACATTATTCGTTATGTTAGATTGATTTTAAACCTGTGTAGTCGATAATTAATGATAGCTAACTACATGGAACTAGGTGATTAACTTTTAATGGAGTTTTGTTCTCTGAGTTGGATGGTTTGGTCATGGAGCTTTCATCGTCCTTCTGAAAGACATCATCGCCATCAGCACAAACTTCGGGTAGAAGTGAAGTGTGTACAGGACAAGCTGTAGACCACATATAGAGAAATTCAAACACTTCACTTCTACCCGAAGTTTATGCTGATGATGATGTTGTTCAGAAGGACGATGAGAACTCCACGACTAAACCATCCAGCTCAGAGAACAAAACTCCATCAAAATTATCCACCTGAGCTGAACTACAAATCTTCTCCACCATCTAGGTGATTAACATTTAACAATCTATTGTTTTTACCTTAAACAGCAAGAATTATTAAAACGTCGTGAAATGGAAATCAATAAACTACGTAAAGATTTAGAAAATGCTAATGCATCACTTGAATTAGCTGAAACTTCAATGAGACGTCGACATCAAACAGCATTGAATGAATTAGCTTTGGAAGTTGAAAATTTACAAAAACAAAAAGGAAAGTAAGTTATCTTGTTTGAAGTTTTGAAAATAGAAGACATACAATACAGAATATGAAAGTACAGATCATGTATTGGGATATAGAAAAGTACTGCAGATAAATCTAATAGCAGAATAAGCCAGTCAGCTATAACGTAAGACCAGGTACACATATGCATCGGTTCAAGTTGCCATACCTCGTTAGCATAACAAGATCAACACCGAATTCATAGAAGTAGTTAATTTAGTGGTGGTAATTTATAAAAGAAAGATTGTATATAAGGATATAGTACAGGAAGGAAGACAGATATGAAGCAATTTTAATCTCAAGGTTTAATGGAAGACAAAGAGTGTGTACACCTACGCCATTGTGATCGATTCTGAGCCATGTCACATAGAGTCTCCAACCATTGGTTACGATAGTCGTGCGGACCTCAACCACGTAGTCTGCATATACCAAAATGACTCAGACTAGAAGTTAGTGACTTCAAACACTGATACGACGTTTTGGTTTGGCCGCCCCTAACTTTCTTCCAACCATCCCCTACACTAGTCAGGATTACGCGTCATGGTAATCGGTGTTTAGGCATACGTAACACTTGGCCCAACCATCTCAGTCTATGAAGATTCACAACCTCATCAACTGATTTAACACCATTCCCTAATACCCTGTATCTAACCTCACTATTACGTACCCAGTGATCCCAGCAGATGAGAGCAATATTTCTAAGGCATCTGTGATCAAATACTAGTAACTTACGAATATCTTCTACTCTTAATGGCCACGTTTCGCATCCGTAAAGTAGAACAGAAGGAATTGCTATGCAGTATATTCGTCCCTTAATTGATAGACGGATATCTTGTCTTCGCCATAGGTGATGTAAGTTGGCAAAAGCCAAACGAGCTTTTTTAAATCTAATAGCAGAATAAAAGATTGAATAATAATAACAGTTGTCTAAGCAAAATACTTAGGATCCATTGGCCAGACACTATATTCAACTGTATTTCCAACATATTAGATTCTTGTAAAGTGAAACTAAATAAAGAAAATCCGAACCCAGGACCTACCAGTCTTGAGCTGGAGCCCTTAACCGATAGATCACTGAGCCGGCATCCAACGGCGTTAATGTCTAACTTCAACCAATCCACGATTTTGAGCGACCGTTCACCAATTGTCTTCAGTGGGTTGATATCTCTACCACGCGCTACTGAGGAGTCCCATAATGGGACGAAACGACTGTCCAGTGCTTCCAGGTTTTCGATGGTGGTCTAGCTTCAATTGACCCATGATTTCAACTGTGAAAATAATAAATTCTCCACAAAACCCCCTCGGATAAATAAAGAAGACCTAATGGGATCAAGAATACTACCTATTAGAGATATTAGATTTTAATAACATACTGACCATTAGTAAATTTAAGTTTTCGTCAGGTTGATAGTATATAATGGAATAAATGAACAAGTAGTTCCAGTAGCTAAGGAGTACATAATCAACTAGTTAAGACTGAATCATAACTGAGGATGAAGGATATCATGGACGCGTTAGAATGTTTTATATCTAAATTAGAATTAAGAGAGTAACAATGTACAAAGTAAACATCTTGAATGTCATGCTGTGTACAGGTTTTTGATGTATATTGCCTATGTGCCAGTCCATTTAATTTTGTGGATAATCTTGAAAGAAACTTTCAGTGGAACTAAATGACCAGAATTGAAATAGTGTTTAGTAATGAACCTTATTCTTTAACAGTGACATAAGATAATTATTAGCGATGTATAGAGAAAGGGTACGTTTCACGCGATCAACACAACTTCGTCTACAAGGGTAAGAAAAGCGATTAATACACACTGAAGCCATTTACTCTATTAGCTTTCGACTAAAAAAAATACTAAGAAGCTGTAGGTCTCAATATAAGGATAGGGAAAAGCAAGATTTTTGGATACAACACAGCATGCACCAATCAAATCACAATTGACGGAGAAGCTTTGGAGGATGTAAAAACATTTACATATCTGGGCAGCATCATTAATAAACACGGTAGATGTGATGCAGAGGCGCGGAGGCGCGGATTGGCAAAGAAAGATCAGCATATCTACAATTGAAGAACATCTGGAAATCAAAACACTTGTCAACCAATACCAAAGTCAGAACTTTCAATACGAATGTCAGGAAAGTTCTACTGTATGGGGCGGAAACTTGGAGAACTACGAAAGTCATTATCTAGAAGACACAAGTGTTTATTAACAGTTGTCTACTCAAAATATTTTGGATCTGTTGACCAGACACTATCAGTAACATTTTACTGTGGGAGAGAACAAACCAGATTTCATTGGAGGAAGAAATTAGGAAGAATCTCTGAAGTGTATAAGGTACACATTGAGGAAATCACCCAACTGCATCACAAGGCAAGCACTCACGTGGAATCCTGAAGGATGAAGGATGAGAGAAAGACCAAAGAACATACGACGCCGAGAAATAGAGACAGATATGAGAAAACTAAACAACAATTGGATAGAACTAGAAAAGAAGGCTGAGTACAGAGTGGGTTGGAGAATGCTGATTGGCGGCCTATGCTCCATTGGGAGTAACAGGCGTAAGTAAAGTAACTAAAAAAAGACTATCTGAAGGTCGAATAAATAAAAGATCGCCCTCAGAGATTTCGGTTTTCGGTTTTTCCCACTTCTTATTAAAATAGGCAGTGATAAAACGAGTATGATATGCAAAATGATAAAGAGGAGTTTTTGATTAAGATCATGAATCGAATGATGTTAAATTATTATTCAAAACCTGGATTCATTGGATTGGTTGAGGTTAGATATTAACACCATTGGATGCCGACTCAGTGGTCTAGAGGTCAAGCGAACGTCTTAGGTTAGTATGCATATGTTAATTCTAAACAGAGGTATGTCTTCCACAAAATTCATTCTCCTCCTTTGTAAATCGATTCTGAACACCACAGTCAATATGTTAGTTTAATAGTTAGATATCAACAAATGGTGTTGTAAAATAGCATAGTTAGTACACAGATTTAAAGCTTTAGTTAAGAATGAAAACCATGGGACCTTATTTGAGATTTTGTATTTAGCAGATATCAAACATTTGTAAGACTGTATAATTTCACTCAAAATAAGATCATTTTAGTTGATGTTGTTTACTTGTATCTTCCCATTGTTGTTGAGGACTGCAATTGGTGGCATCCTGTGCGGACTGCCTCGATATTGCTTAAAATCACAAGCTTTATAAGCAAAACTGGATAGTAGCTAGCAGTGAAATCCAGGATGCGCATTTCGTCCTATAACAATGGGAAGATACAAGTAAACAACACCAAGCGAATTTAGCTTCACCCCATTACACAAGCAAATGACTATGAGGAGTCAGCAGTTAACTGAATAACGTGATGGAGTTCGAGGCGAACGGTACTGGGTTCGAGTCCCGGTGTTAATATCAACTGTGAAATGAGGGCACATTCAACTGACGAGTCCTAAATAGGACGGAACGCGCGTCCTTTGTCTCACTTTTAACCATTATCCATCTTGTTTATAAAATCACTTTAATTTATAGCTTTATTTAAACTCATTCTAGAATTTTATGTCTCTAATGGATCATTCAACTCATAATAAACCTTTTCTTTTACTTTATATAGGGCTGAAAAAGATAAAAGTCACTTGATTATGGAAGTGGATAATGTTCTAGGACAATTAGATGGTGCATTAAAAGCTAAGGTCAGTAAAATTATATGAAGGCTAATTGGTATTCACTGAATACTACATGAATTTCTGACGTTTTGTGATCTTATATTAGTCATTTATTATCATTATTATCTAAATAAGCAATCTACATCAGCTCATAAAACATCAGGAAATTATCTCTGTACACCCTGGTTCACCAAGGTGCTTGGTACCTGCATGGTTGCGCTACAAGACTGAACTATACTATACTATTCTCCTGTAAGGTGGGATTGAGATGTATTGTTTGGGTTGTCATGTGAAAGTCTGGATAGTGTCTGATTCTCCTGAAAACCAATACAAAATTACCCTGGCTCAATTAGGTATATTATATATTATTAGATTATCACCTGAAACTTCTTTGATTGTGACATCAAGTAACAACATGAGTTGAAATTCAGAGAAGAAGTACCGATTTCTTTAAGGTTATTGATACTTATTAGTAATGATTGTCAATAAATACGGAGGTCTGTTTAAAGAGATTCTTCATCTCATCTCCTTTCATTATTCAATTAGATAGTTTTAAACTGATTATACTCGATGTGTACTACGCCAATAGACTGTTGGTCACTTGCGAAGTTTCAGAGATTAGATTCTCAGTTATTAATATTAAGACCACAATAACTAAGTTTCTTACTGAATCCAATTGATAAAAAGAGATTCGGCTACTTTAAAGGCATGATGATATATTTATTTATTTAAACACATAAATATTAGTACAAGGGGGCACCAGATATGTATGCGCCACACAAATCACACTTGATTTGTGTGAGGGCTGTGATACTGCACAGGTGCCAAAACTGAAGCATGTGATTTTCTTAGGGGGCCACACCCCGAGCCTTTGACTTAAAGGTCTAATCCACAAGGCAGTGGAGCATCGTGAGGAGATGCAGTCACATGGCAGCCAGTGACCAACGATTGATTCATACGAAATTTGTTCCCTCAGGATACTACAGGTCATGTCCACCATTGGTTTGGAATCAGGGTTTTCAAACCCCCCTAGGTGGATTTTACATGTCTACCAACCCGGTTAAAGCACCGAATATTCGCTTTCCTTCCTCTCATTTTCGTAAACAATAGTAATACCGCGAGAAGGAAGTGAGTAGGACTTCCTCGACAGAGGCTTTATACGCGTGGCCATGTGAGAGTATTTGGAGAGGAATAGCTAACTCTCCTCACTCTCAGGCGTACCATGGCATTTGGGGGGCTTGATGATGTTATAACACTTGATACTTCTTGATAATTGAGTCTTAGATATAATATTTAAAATATAAGGATCTATGATATTATCTCTCTGAAGGGAAACTGAATTTTATGAGAAGATTCCCCTTTCTTCCCCCCACACACCCGGGTTACCGCTCACATTAGTATATGGAATGGTTGCCATAATCCAGGAGGCACAACGAGGATGTTTGAGTCGGACTTTGCCTCCCATATGAGGAGGTTTTTTTTCTGGTTAGCGTTTTAAAAAACAGTGGATAGGACATAGATTAAGGAAATCACCAATGTGCATTACAAGGCAATCCCTAACTTGAAATACTGAAGGGAAACGGAAAAGAGGAAGGCTTAAGAACACATCACACCGGAAAATAGAAGCAGATATGAAAAGGATGAATAACAAATGGAAAGAATTGGAAAGGGAGGCTCAGGACATAGTTGGATGGAGAATGCTGATGAGAGGCCTATGCTCCTCGACGAGGGGTAACAGGCGTAAGTAAGTAAGTAAGTAAGTAATCAAAAGGTTAGTAACTATATTTACTGATAGATAACTAATCAACAGTAAATAGATCTTCATCAAAGTAAATTTTTCTTTTCTTTTAACATTATAGCAATCAGCTGAATCCAAATTAGAAGGTTTAGATAGTCAATTAAATCGTTTAAAATCATTAAGTGATGATTTACAAAGACAATTAACTGAATTAAATAATGCTAAATCAAGATTAACATCAGAAAATTTTGAATTATTACATATAAATCAAGATTATGAAGCACAAATATTAAATTATTCTAAAGCTAAATCATCACTTGAAAGTCAAGTAGATGATTTAAAACGATCATTAGATGATGAAGCTAAAGTAAGTTTAGTTTAAAGAGTTTCAATGATTCATTTGTATCCATTTAATATTGTTTATTTGAATCTAATCAATTAGGTACTGGATTCGAGTCCCAGAGTGAACATCAACAACTCTGAGATACAAGTACATCCAGATGACGAGTCCCAAATGGGACGAAACGCGCATCAAACTGGATTCCACTACTAGACACTATCCATCATTATTCATTTATATCACTTTTTTAAAGTTTGATATTGTTTCTAAACTATAATGCTATAATAAGCAAAGATGGATAGGGGCTAGCAATGGAATCCAGTTTGATGCGCGATTCGTCCTATTTCTCACTCGTCAGCTGGATGTGTACCTGCATCTCATAGTTGATGTGAATTAAGGTTAATTCGAGGCAATACGCGCACTATGTACATATGTCAATAAAAGACTGACCAGTTGCAGTCCTGAACATCAATGGGAAGATTGCAACAAACAATATCAAGTGAATTTAAACTTCATCCCACTGCACAAGCAAATGGCTATCAGAAATCAGTAGCTAAGTGGATAACGCGATGTCGTTTAAAGCGAAGGATATTGGGTTCGAGTCTCACAGTGAACAGCAACTCTGAGAGGCAGGTACATTCAGCTGACGAGTCCCAAATAGGATGAAACGGACGTCAAACTGGATTCCACTGTTAGCCACTATCCATCATTGCTTATAATGCTTGTGAATTAAGGCTATATCGAGGCAGCCCGCATAGGATGCACATATGCCAATAAGAGACTGACTAGTTGCAGTCCTAAACATTAATGGGAAGATTCAAACAAACAATAGTGAGTGAATTATAATGCTATAAGCTATGTTACACATCAGTAGTATATTACTTTTTTATATTTAATGAAAGTGAATCTTTGTTACTTTAAAATAAAACTTATTTACAAAGATATACAAGTATGCTACATTGTACTGCACTATACACTTAATAGATTCCTTGATTGAACCTTCCATAAAGATGAAGTATGATAGAAATGTGTTAGGTTATTAATAATCAACTGATACTCCCTACCAGATAATATCTTGAACCAACTATTTATCCTGAAGTATTTCAAGCATAATGAATAAGTTTGGAATTAATTAAATGATAGATTTACTGACTTGATTCACTCTTGTATTTATGAAGCCATTAAATAAGGACGAAATTGAGCAACCATTCATCAATATCTTTGGTGAGTTGATATCTCACAACAGATCTGGTTGAACTAAACTGGTCAATAATTCTCACTAGAACTCCGGGAAATATCTCTTGAAGCCAGTCACTAGTGAGCATATGATTATTATCAGAAGGGGTTCTGGGTTCGAATCTTGTGAGACGGGATCGTAGATGCGCACTGCTGAGGAGTTGCACAATAGGACAGGACGGTCGTCCAATGCTTTCAGGTTTTCAATGGTGATCTAGTTTCAATTGACCCATTATTTCAACCATAGAATTACTAAGATCTCTACAAAAACCCCTTCTGATATCATATAAAGAGTATTTTCTTTTGTTTGTTTTTCTACGTCATTTTTATCTAAACCATTGATTTAAAATGGTTTGAATAATTCTTTCTGGTTAGAGTTTTCTTAGCGAGTTAGTTTTCTACGAGATTAGGTCGATAACCTCATGTCCAACCCTCTTCCTTTATCCGGGCTTGAGACCGGCAGTAGCTTCCGGAGGGGCTACAGGCACGCAACCACAAATGCAGGAGAAGATGACCTGTGTAGCAGCGATAGGTCTTATAATATACACAGAGGCAAAGGAAGATTCTCCGATACAACACAACATGCACCAATCAAATCACACTTGACGGAGAAGCTTTAGAGGATGTAAAAACATTTATATATCTGGGCAGCATCATTGATGAACACGGTGGATATGATGCAGACATTAGGGCACGGATCGGCAAAGCAAGAGCAGCTTATTTGCAACTGAAGATCATCTGCAACTCAAAACAATTATCAACCAACACCAAAATCAGAATTTTTACTACAAATGTCGAGACAGTTCTATTGTATGGGGTAGAGACGTGGAGAACTACGAAAGTCATCATCCAGAAGATACAGATGTTTAATAACAGTTGTCTACGCAAGATACTTCGGATCCGTTGGCCAGACACTATCAGCAACAAGCTACTGTGAGAGAGACCAAACAATATTTCAACGGAGGAAGAAATCAGGAAGAAGCGCTGCAAGTGGATAGGACACACATTGAGGAAAGTACCCAACTGCACTCACCTAGAATCTTGAGTGTCAAAAAAGAAGAGGAAGACCAAAGAACACATTACGCCGAGGAATGGAAACAGATATGAGAGGAATGAACAACAACTGAATAGAACTAGAAAAGAAGGCTGAGTACAGAGTGGGTAGGAGAATGCTGGTCGGTGGCCTATGCTCCATTGGAAGTAACAGGCGTAAGTAAGTGTGTAAGTTTCTCAGATGGATCTGTTTATGATTGTTGGTAAAGTGATACAGTACCATGAAGTTATCAGTTCGAATTTTATACCATCTAATTCTAACTGAACCAAAAATTATTTTCATTATACTTTTCTATTCATCTTATAGAATCGTTTCAATCTTCAAGCTCAACTTACATCACTTCAAATGGATTATGATAATTTACAAGCTAAATATGATGAAGAAAGTGAAGAAGCTAGTAATTTACGTAGTCAAGTATCTAAATTTAATGCTGATATTGCTGCATTAAAATCTAAATTTGAACGTGAACTTATGAGTAAAACAGAAGAATTCGAAGAAATGAAGTACGTTGAAACCTTTCAATAATGATAAAATACTTTGTGTTGACTTGACTGGAATAGAATCGGAATACTTTACATAATTAATTAATCCTGGAATAATATTTTCTGAAGTTATCGATATCATATAGGGTACAAGGAATAATCAAATAGATATGTACCACTTCGATTTGTGTAAGAAATGGGGTACCGCCCAGGTGCCCAGATCGAAGCAAGTGGTCATCTGAGCATGCCACGCCCCAAAGCTTTGACCTAAAGGTTTAGTTCACAAGGCACTAGAGCAACGTAAGGAGTTGCAGTATCATGGCAGCCGGTCACCAACAGTAGGTTCATACGCCATTTGTTCCCTCAGGGTTCTCCAACTCCTGTAGATGGACCCTCAATATTCACCAACCCGGTTAAAGTTCTTCCTCTCAACTTTCTACACAACAGTAATGCTACAAGAAAGCAGCGAGTAGTGTAGTGAACAGAACACTGATTGGCGACAATCGAATGTATTTAAGCAAAGATTACAGACCATCTCAGTAAATTCTGATTACCAAACAATGAACAGTCAATTTGCAAACTAACAACCAATTGCTTCAATCTTCACTGTTTCTTCTCTAATTCCATTGCTCATGCATTTTCCAGACGATTGCGCTTCATTTCAGTTCTTTCGTCATCGGTCTTCTGCCAAAATACATTCTACGTTTGACCCACACCATATACTACCTATATGGATATAAGTAGACCACACCACAGTAGGACTTCCATCTTAGTGGTTGTATGCACATGGCCATGTAAGAGCATTTTGAAAGGGATAGCTGACTCTCTTCGTCCTCAGACGTACCAAGGTACCAACTGTTTACCACTCAAATTAAATTACATGTAACAAGGCAAGTTGATCACTAACGATATAATTGTAATAGTACTTAAAGATCTTTGTAAAACATGGAACTAGTGATAATTGTGTTGTTTAGATAAATCTCCTAATCAGACTGACATGAACATTTCCGTAACCTACACTATCTGAAGTTTAGTCTGATGATTTGGTTCAGAAGAACAATGAAAGCTCTACGATCAAACCATCCAGCTTAGATAATAAAACTCCACTACTATAGAAATTCATTACATCACCCTAAATTATAAAAGTCAACAATGTTAACAAACCTCGTGGATGCTCACTGCCACTGAAGAGTCCTACAATAGAACGAAACGGTCATCCAGTGCTTCCAGGTTTTTCATGGTGGTCTAGGTTCAGTTGTCTCATGATCTGAACTATTGAAATCATTTTGTTTGTTTATTTTTTTGAATTTTAGGAGAAAATTCACTATGAGAATTACAGAACTTGAAGATACTGCTGAAAGAGAACGATTAAAGGCGGTATCATTAGAAAAACTTAAAACAAAATTAACATTAGAAATTAAAGATTTACAATCTGAAATAGAAAGTGTAAGTCAATTTTATAGTATATCATTATGAACTACTTATAACTATCTCAGTATGTTATATCTTGTGACTAAGTGCTCTAGTTTATATATGACGTGATGATTCCCGCCCAATTGGAGAGCAGTGATTTATTGATCGGACCAGTGACACATGAAACCCGTACGAGCAGTCTAGAATACTTGTCGGTCCTGTTTTCTACCTAGCTCAGTCAGTTTAGTCCAGAACACCAATCTCAGCCTTGAAGATATGAATAATGTATTTCAAGCATAGTGGGTTTATATTACCAATCAGAAAGACCATATCACACCATAGAACATGAAACAATATTTGTACAAGATTTAGTCAAATGTGGTTGTGAATGTGGGGAACAGCAATTAATAGACTTGGAATAACTCAGGAATAGTAAATCGTGTATCAATAGTAAACTATCTATAACTGTCATGTTTACACAGGAAGAAGTTGAACATTTGACCATCTGAAGCCAACGTAATGGTTATTTGCTGTACTGGTATCTGACAAGTAATTGTATGTTATTTAACTGGTTGAAATAATCCAGTTGTTAGGGTAGGTATTTGTACTCAAAATAACTTAATGGTAGCTTGACTGACAATAATACAAAGAAGCAAACGCTGGTCTTTAATATATTTATATCAAGTATGGCTTCCAGTTCATGATGTACTACTAACCGAAGTCGAACCTGGTACACTATGATTACCAAAAGCTAATTTTAAGGTACTACATTATCTTACCTAAATTTTGACAAGATGGTAGTTTATCCTGTTCTCAACCAAAAGTTTAGTCATGCCTGTCTAGTTTGTTACTTAATGTTATATCTTGATCAAGTCACCGCCAATTGTTATGTCTTTATCAAGGTAGTCGCTATTTTTTTATGACCTTACAAATTAAACAAGGACGTAATTCGCGTGAATTATCTACCAATAGAATACGACTTCTCCAACCTTAACACGGTGACAATCAAGGACGTCCAACCCGTATGAGTAATCTCTCTTCCTTATTGGTCCTTAATCCGCCTAGCCCGTCCACTTGAGTCCAGAACACCAATAGCAGCTTCTGCTATACGAATCTATGCGAATCATTTATTTCAAACATACTATGTATATATACCAGACAGACAGACCACATCACACCATAATATAGAAAATAATATTTGTATAGGATCAAGCCAAATGTGGCTGTGAACGTTGGATACAATAATCAATAAACTGAGTGTACATTAGGAACAGTAAATCGTATAATAATAATCCATAGATCAAAATGAAGCTTATAATAAGAGGAATATAGATATACATACTGTAGTTACTGAACATCTATACAATAAGATTATATATAGAATAATAGTCCATTAATAGGTCCCGGAAGTTACCTGTACTTATGTCTTTACCGGGATATAACAACATGTTTTCTGTTTTTAATGTTCATGTTTCTTAATCATAAAGAATTACAAATCAAACTTCCATTTAGAATATCAATGTTTGAAAAAGAATTGCCACAGTGATATGTCTTGCTAATTGAACGCTATATTCGGATTCTAAGCTAGTCTCGTAACCTCCCCTCCCTCCGCAACCTAAATCCATACAGCGACTTGAACACGAAAGAAAAGGCATAAAATATGCGAGAATCCCTTTACTCCAAAGATTCATTTATGTACAGAAAATATACAGTTTTTATAGTATTTTAGAAGTTTTTGGGTTTTCCTGAAAATTCTAGAATGTTACTAAATATAGTAGCAGTGTAGTAATCAGTCAATTAGAAACTCTTTTCACTTTCATGATGTTCCTAGCAAAACTTATAGTCAAAGGCAGATTGGGTAAGATCCTTCTTACTATTTCCTGAACCTTATTTGTCTTTTACGAGAACTTTTCAGGAAGCCCCAACACACCGCTTGTCTACAAACAAGTTTTATTAACTGTTCAACATTTTAGATGGTTACTTTAAACATATTCAACTAGTCTATGTTATTTTTAAGTCATTAACTAGGTGATCTATTCAGACTGATTGAGGTCTTACTCGAGTTAGACAGGAATGATGTGACGTACCAGCTAACATCAAAGTCACTTCTTGTGGTTAACATCTAACGTGGATTACCGCATTCGACATATCAAAGTATTATGGCTGCTTTAAAGACTGTATAACACAAAGGACGTTATCATGGAAATATAAGTACAGAGAAGATACCAAAACCACCATCATATTAGCCAGTCTATATCAGTTTATATCTAAGCTGAAGATGATGAATTCTTCAAACTTCTAAGATGAAACTGATGTATTTAGAAGACTATACAAGTCTCAGCTTACAATGTACTTATAATATCATCTAAGTTGATGATCTATGTCAAATGATTGGAGGCCTACTAGAATTAGACGAGAATGGTGACGAACCAACTAACGCTGAAGTCACACCTCGCGACCAGCACCTTACGTGGATTGCCCCCATTGACGTAACAAGGGGCCGTGGATGCTATGGAGACTGTACAACACAAAGGAAGTTATTACAAGAATATATTAGTTAAGGTACAACCACGAAAGTACATAAATGAAAGAACAACCACTGCCGCGTGGGCCAGTCCATGGCGTATATTTACTGGTGCGCGTTGACTATCCTTGACCTTGACAGGGTTCGATGATCTATTCAATATTCAGTGACATTTCACCTACCCTACATACTTGTTCATTTGAATAAATGCATTCATAGATCTACTCTCTTTCTCTTCATTTATATCTACTTTATAGCTTTCATTAGAAAATGGTGAATTAATTCGTCGTGCTAAAGCTGCTGAATCATTAGCTACTGATTTACAACGTCGTGTTGATGAACTTACAATTGAAGTGAATACATTAACATCACATAATAGTCAATTAGAAAGTGAAAATCTTCGTTTGAGAAGTTTAGTTAATGATTTAACAGATAAAAATAATTTATTAGAACGTGAAAATCGTCAAATGAATGGTAAGTTGAATTATATTTGAATATTGTTTATTCAATTATCTATTACTGAAGAGTCCTACAGTAGGACGAAACAACCTTCCAGTGTTTATAGGTTTTCTAAAGTGGTTTAGTTTTAATTGAATCATGATTTTCAAAGGACGGGTTTACTGTGCAGTAGTTCGTTCTGTCTTACTTTATGGCAGTGAAACATGGCCGGTAAGAGTAGAGGATATTCGAAGGCTACTAGTATTCGATCATAGGTGTCTTTGAAGCATTGCTCGTATATCCTGAGACCACCGGGTAAGTAATGGAGTTATCAGGAAACAGGTACTAGGTAAAGATGACAAATTCATTGATGAAGTAGTAAAACTTCATCAGTTGAGATGGCTGAGACATGTGTTACGTATATCCAACCACCAACTGCCCCGACATGCAATGTTTTATGGTGTGGCAGTTGGTTAGAAGAAAGCTAGAAGCGGCCAAACCAAAACATGGCACAAATCGATGAAGTCACTGACAAGTGAACTGAGCCATGTTGGTAGGTAGATGTAGACTACCTGGTTGGGATTCGTGAGATGATAACAATCGATGGTTAGAGACCTTGAATGACATGGTTCAAAATCGTGTACAATGGCGAAGGTGCATCTATTCTTTGTGTTCTGCCAAATTCTAATCTGAATACTTCATGTCATTATCTTCTTTCTCTTTCCAAATTTTTTTTCACTGGATTATACTCCTTGAATAACATCTCCAAACCCTAATCTTTCGGATTTCTGCTTATACCCCTACTACTTCTACCATTATGGGATGAAGTCAATGTTGATTATATTTGTAAATGTGTTTTCCGTTTAAATAACCAAAAGTTTTAGATAAATCTTCGAACTGAATACTAGACTTCGTTCTTAAGTTGTTCTAGTAACCCTCTGACTAAATCTACACAGTAACTTGAACATGAGATAAAAAGCTCGAAATATGGAAGAAAATGCTTTACTCGAAGATTCGTTTATGTATAGCAAATCTAGGGTATTTATAACAGTTTAAATGGCCTTAGTCTTCCGGAAAATTCTGGAATGCTACTGAACATAGTGGCGGTATAAATAATCATCCAATCAGAAACTCTACATGTGACTTTTCACTTTCAAGATGTTTCTGGCAGAACGCCTCTTGTATACCGAATGGATAAGATGTTTCTCAGCGTTTTCAGAGCCTTTTTTCCAGGAGTTTCCTGGATCTCCTTACCAATTTTCAGTAAATTTGAATTTTGTTGACTGTTCAGAATAAACAAAAACTGACCAATTAGAATAATAAATACTAAACTCATAATCCTCACTTGTCAATTATGTAAATTTTTAAAGGACCAAATAGAAGACTGTTTTATTTTAGACTAATTAGAGTGCAGAACTCCATGAAGAACCTTTCATTCGTTTCGTAAAAAACTTTTGTGAGATAGTAACTCACTGACGACAATGGTGAATGGTTGCTCAGTTTCGTAGATTAGTTGAAGTTAAACAATAACACCGTTGGATGGCGGCTCAGTGGTTCAGAGGTTAAGCGTTCGCGCACGAGACTCATAGGTCCTGGGTTCAAATCTCGTGAGGCAGGATCGTGGATGCTCACTGTTGAGGAGTCCCACAATAGGACGAGAAAATCGTCTAATGCTTCCAGGTTTCCAATGGTCGTATAGATTCAATTGACTTATGATTTCAACCATAAAATTACTAAAATCTCCACAAAACCCCCTTCTGCTAATCAAGTTACTTGTTTTTATTTTAACTAAACACCAGAATTCTCATTGTTCTTTTATCTAAATTTTCATTTTATTTTTTAATTAAGATCAAGTCAAAGAATTAAAAAGTTCACTTCGTGATGCTAATCGTCGTCTTACTGATTTAGAAGCATTAAGATCTCAATTAGAAGCTGAACGAGATAATCTTGCATCAGCTTTGCATGATGCTGAAGAAGCATTACATGATATGGATCAAAAGTATCAAGCATCACAAGCTGCATTAAATCATTTGAAATCTGAAATGGAACAAAGGCTTAGAGAAAGAGATGAAGAATTAGAAAGTTTAAGGTAAGGTTTCATTTTTTTGTCAGGAGATATTAATGGAGACTGAAGAAACTATTAGGAGTTCCACAATGGGACGAAACGGCCGTCCAGTACTTCCAGGTTTTCCACAGTGGTCTAGCTTCAATTGACTCATGATTTCAACTCTATTGGAAATCAGTTAAGATTTGATAAATTGGATTGACTGTTTTACATTAGCGCTTAAGACTTAATCATTTCTAATGACAACCGTTCACTTACTAGTTTCAGTCAACTGTTGCTAAATTCTACTGACGTCAGCTCTTGTTTCTGTGAGAGCACAGACTTCCTGAAGCTTATAGACCCACTCTAATGACAAGTATCAAAAAGCATCAAATATTTGTCAAGCAAAACTTCAATATATGACTGCCGTTATTGAACACTGGAAATAACCAAGGAATAAGTAACCATTTTAACATGACCACTAAACTTTTAAAAGTGCCTTAATCGTGTGATCATTCTTTCATTTCATCCTGACAAATATCCTATGTCTCTTCTCTCTATACAGTACATAGATTCTATTAAAAGTAATTTCTTTAAAAACTATAGGATATAATGTAACCGATTATAGTTATAGAATATACCCATATGGGCTAAGGTAATCTTGAAGTGGTTTTCAGGAGAATCAGACACCATTCAAACTTATATGCGGCAACTCGAACAGTACAGCTCAATCCCGTTTAATATGAGAGCCAGACACTGCCTAGGCTTAACTCAAGCAGTACAACTAAATCCCATAGAAGAACCAGAATGTAACCGATACATTTGTTAAAATCATCAACTGACTTGACATTTTTACAATGATAGTCCATTTAATTTATTATTGTTAAGGTTGTCTTGGAAATTCAGTTATCTTATTTATTATTATTTAAACACATAAATATTGGTAATAGGGGGGGGCACCAGATATATATACGCCACACAAAACAATGAGAATGGAGAGAGAAAAGGGGTAGGGTGCATATACGAAAAAAAAGAAGGAACAACAAGAACCATAGAGTGTACGTTAGTGTAATAATAAGAGAAACCGAAGTGTACAACCAGAAGATCTTTTTCAGTTCATAAAGTTATGACCACTCTTTAATGATAAAAGTAAAAGAAGGTTACTGCAAGATCACCACTGGCTTCTATTATGAGTCATATCTGATAACGTCTCTAGTCACTGTGTTACACCATATTTCGAACCTCAGTTATCTAAATCCATTTGATGTAATTTAATACTGAATAATGGAGCAATATCTGATGCTAACTCAATTTATCACCTAATCATATTTATAGTGACCTTAATTATACTACTGATTTGACTGCATCAAATAAGTACTGATCATTCATATTATGTTCTTGATTATTTAGCCAAGTAAATGTCATGTGTAACACAAGTGGCAACAGCCAAAAGTGTTTAAACACAAAATTACAGAACACCTTAGTCAAATCTGAGAATCATACAGTAAATACTTCATTTGCTAAATGTTATTCAATTGTCTCACACTTGTCTGTTCCTTCTGCAAAATGTCAATCCATTGTCTCAGACTTCATTATTCCTTCGTTTCCACACCAATCATTCTCTATTCTCTCTGACTTTCTTTGATCTTCTTAACCGCCAGGCATTATACTTTCGATGACGATACATACTAATTATATCAGTCGACATTAGTAGAACACACCACACTCGTCCCCTCTTCAAAGTAGTCGCTCTTGTGATGGTTCTACTCGCCATGCCACTTTCTTCTTTTCTACGGTCTCTACCACGTTCTCCATCAAAACGTTGAGTCTGAGGCGCGCTGACCTCCATAGCTCAAACGATCAGGCAGGCCACTGAAATTCGATGTCCATCCGGCATTCGGAACCATCAGTGCCTGCGCTCCCTCGACCTGCTGAGCCATCTACATCCGATGTCCCCCCAGCAGCCGCATACCCCACTGCCCCTCCCCATCAACAGCACCCACTAAAGCCAACGCCATCCCACCAGAACATTCCACTGGATGTCATCTTTCCGCACCAGACAACCTCAACTAGCACTTCATCTTCAGGCCCTCAACGGCATCCACAGAACAGCACCATTCCCCCCTTCTCGTTGGTGGCGACACTAAAACTTTGGAGATGATTTAGTCTGTAGAATACGTTAAAGACATCAGAAATAGATGTAATCTAGTTTAGAGATTATTGAAACCTCTGTATTTATTCTTCTTTTATAGAAAAAGTACTACTAGAACAATTGAAGAATTAACTGTTACAATTACTGAAATGGAAGTTAAATATAAATCAGAATTATCACGTTTAAAAAAACGTTATGAATCAAATATTGCTGATTTAGAAATTCAACTTGATACAGCTAATAAAGCAAATGCAAATCTTATGAAAGAAAATAAAAATTTATCACAACGTGTTAAAGATTTAGAAACATTTTTAGATGAAGAACGTCGTCTTCGTGAAGCAGCTGAAAATAATTTACAAGTATGTTATAATTTTAAGATATTTATGGTGTTAGACCATCATGGAATACCTGGAAGCACTGGACTGCCGTATGGAACTCTTCAGAAGTGCTAATCCATGTCAGGTAGAGACAGGTATATACCTTAGTATGATGAAAGATGGTCACGTTATTTCCTGGATTGGTTGAGGTTAGACATTAATTTTATTGGATGTGTGCCATCTCAGTGGTCTAGAGGTTAAGCTCTCGCTAGCGAAACTGATAGATCCTGGTTATGAATCCTGCGGGCGAGATCGTGGATGCTCACTTATGAGGAGTTCCATACTAGAACGAAGAGGTTGTCCAGTGCTTTCAGGTTTTCCATGGTGGTCTATCTTCAATCGAATCATGAATACGATCATTAAATTAATTCTATATAAGATTAGTCTTTCAACAAATTAATCAAGTATTATACATAAATCCAATCACAATTATTAATACTGTTTCACATTAAGACCTGAAGTATAACAGAAGCTCCTCTGAAGATAGTTGTTGTTGTTCAACCTGCATCCAATGTGTTTCACTGATCCCAAGCACCTCCAGGTTGTATTTCCTTATTTCTGCAGCAATTTGGAAGACTCTTCCGGTCTCCCACATTGTCCGGACGTTCCATGTACCTATAAAAATTGTTGCTCTGGTTGTTTGAAGGTGCATCAGTCTCATGAATTCCGAAGGAACTCGGCTTTCATTATAAGGTGTCATAATTCTTCCTTCAACTCCTAGGGCAGAGTTTAAATGGTTTGAATTATATTTTCTGGTTAACGTTTTTTAGCAAGTTAGTTTTCTACGGGATGGGATGGCTAACCCCATGCCCAACCCTCCTCCTTTATCCGGGCTTAGGACTGGTAGTAGCCCCCGGAGGACCTATAGGCGGAGTTAGTGAAATATATGGACCAAGTTAATCCCAAACTCTAAGATGTTTCCCCTTTAGTGTCACTACATTTATGGATCTAAGTTGAATTACTACTATTATGTAATCAGTTCTTTTTTGAATATTTTATTATTTAGATTACTGAACATAAACGTTTACAATTAGCTAATGAAATTGAAGAAATACGTAGTACATTAGAAAATTTAGAACGTTTACGTAAACATGCTGAAACAGAACTTGAAGAAGCTCAATCACGTGTTAGTGAATTAACTATACAAGTTAATACATTAACTAATGATAAACGTCGTCTTGAAGGTGATATTGGTGTAATGCAAGCTGATATGGATGATGCTATTAATGCTAAACAGGTAAATTATTCTTCTTGATATTTATGTTACCTGGAAGCCTTGAACGGCCGTTTTGCCCTATTGTGGGACATTAGCACCGTTGGATGCTGGCCATCTCAGTGGTCTAGAGGTTAAGGGCTCGCGCGCGAGACTGATAGGTCCTGGGTTCGAATCTCATGAGGCGGGATCGTCGATGCGCACTACTGAGGAGTTCCACAAAAGGTTTGAACGGTTGTCTAGTGCTTCCAAGTTTTTCATGATGGTCTAACTTTAACTGACTTGCGTTGCGTTTTCTAAGCAACAAAGTTTAATTAAGGAACTTTCATTGTCATCATGGACAATATATATGATCATCAATGCTTACTTCATGTAGAAGTTAGCTTCTTAGTTATTCCACGAATGTTAAGTCAGTTTATCCTAATGGTCTTATCAATGTTTAAAATCAAGTGCTGACTATTTTGACCCATTGACAGACACTTTTTTCTACTTTCAAACATGATATATATGACTGAACCTAATGGAAAACATTCGATTTGTCTTAAAACATTATTTAACTGAATGTTCTTCAGTTCATAGTATGTAAAGATAAATTACGTCAATTTTAAAATATTTTCACTTCTACCCTGAAGTTTTTGCTGATGATGTCGTTCAGAAAGACGATGAAAGCTACGCGACCAAACCATCCAGATCATAGAACAAAAGTCCATCAAAAACAAAATGTACTGCTAAAGCTGTGATTAGTATCAAATCCAACAAAACATAGATTTCATCTTGTATAGGATCTATTAATGGTAATCATTAGATATGTATTTAACTTCAAAAAATTCAAAATCCTAAAGATAATACATAACAGAATATTGATAATTTAAATCTGTGAGGACTGTCCACAGGTGAAGTTAAGGAAGCTCTAAGAAGCCCAGAAGGAGCTGAACATATTCCATCCAATTAGCTTTTTGAAGAATATTCTAGAATCACTACATGTAGCTTCCTTATTGGACAATGCTGATCACTCCCTGTGTGCGGATTGGATAACTATAATGATGATTTTGTTTCTACTAAAAATTATAAGTACCTGACAGTTTTGTACTATAATTGACACGGTTTAGAATAACATTCCTTCTACTTGTTTTCTGTCTTCTAATTCTGCGACTTGGGGAGGGGGGGTTTCTAGCATTCTAGTGCTCAAGTATTACGTGCGAAACTACGAATCTAAGTTCAAGGTATAACAAAATCTATTTGATGGAACTCATCTGAGACAATCATAAACATAGAAGATAGTTAAATATAATATAATTGTAAGTACGGTTCGTCGGTAGACTCTAGGAAGCCTTAAGAAGCCCAGGAGGAACCGCAGACATTCCATCCAACCACTGCTAGGGGAATATTCTAGAATTTCGACGTGTAGCTTCCCCATTGGATGGATAAGAATGACCCCTATTCACCTATTGGTTGTCTTAAATGATGATTTACTCTCAGTCAAAAAACTTTAAATACACGAGATTTCTGTACTAAATTTTGACACTGATTTGGAGAATAAACTTCCTACTTACTAGTCTCTTATCTCCTCTTTTGCAACGTTTCGAGTTCTATCGTTCAAGTAGTCTAGTAGTTCGCGGCAGAGTAAGAATCAAGGCTCTAGATATAACAATAATATACTAATATACCCTTAGGGACCAGGGTAATCTTGCACCGCTTTTTAGGTGAACCAGACACCATCCAGACTTTCACGCAGCAAACCAAACAGTATAGCTCAATCTCGTTTAACAGGAGAGCTAGACATTGCCCATGCTTAACCCAATCAGTACAGTTCAATCCCGCTCTATAGTAAAACCAGACACTATAAAGGTTTAAACGCTAGAATCCGAACAGCTCAACCCAATCCTGTGGCACAACCACTCAAGTACCAAACACCCTGGTAGACCAAAACATAAAAGATCCTAGATGTATTCTTTGAAACTATTCATAGAACAAGTTTCTTGAATCCAAAGTTAATGTGAAAAAGATAATAACAACCTTCAAAAATCTCCGATTCATCTAAAATTGATTGTTATATAATTTTATTTTTATTTCAGGCTTCTGAAGATCGAGCAACTAGATTAAATAATGAAGTATTACGTTTAGCTGATGAATTACGTCAAGAACAAGAAAATTATAAACATGCTGAAGCATTAAGAAAACAATTAGAAATTGAAATACGTGAAATTACAGTTAAATTAGAAGAAGCTGAAGCATTTGCTACTCGTGAAGGTCGTCGTATGGTACAAAAATTACAGGTGAATGATTGTCTTTTGTTTTTTTTTGACAAACTAACATTGATAATATCTTTTATGGGAACGATAATGTGTAGAATGGGTATTTAATGACTGAAAATGATTGTACTAATGCCTGTTACTCCCAATGGAGCATAGGTCGCCTACCAGCATTCTCCAACCCACTCTGTCCTAGGCCTTCCTTTCTAGTTCTATACAACGCTTGATCATTATTCTCATGTCCGTCTCTATTTCTCGGCATAATGTGTTCCTTGGTCTTCCTCTTCTCCTTTGGCCTTTAGGATTCCATGTAAGGGCTTGACTGGTGACGCAGTTTGGTGATTTCCTCAATGTGTGTCCTATCCACTTCCAGCACTTCTTTCTGATTTCTTCCTCCACTGGATGGAATCTGGTTTGTTCTCTTTCACAGTAGAATGTTGCTGATAGTGTCTGGCGAATGGATCCTAAGTATTTTGCGTAGACAACTATTAATAAACGTTTGTATCTTGTGGATGATAACTTTCGTAGTTCTCCACATCTCCGCCCCATACAGTAGAACTATCTTGAAATTTGTATTGAAAATTCTGATGTTGATGTTGGTTGACAATTATTTTGAGTTCCAGATGTTCTTCAATTGTACATATGCTAATCTTGCTTTGCCGATCTGTGCCTTCACATCTGCATCAGATCCACCGTAATTCCGGGATATGTAAAGATTTTTACATCCTCCGAAGCTTCTCCGTCAAGTGTGATTTGATTTTTGCATGTTGTGTTGTATCGGAGAATCTTTCTTTTCCCTTTGTGTATATTGAGACCTACTGCTGCTGAGGCTAAACATATATACAATATAGATGAAAATTGACAAACTGGATTGATTTAACTTGTCTTAACTAAGAATAAACAACATAAATAAAGAAAAGATGTTAAGACGACGATGAGAAAAAAATATACAAAGTTGACACGATAGTGGCTACTATCACGATGAAGACTGACGACAATCTATGTCACTGTAATAAGTTGATATTGACCACAAGGATATAAAAAGTGCTTCAGATATCAAAATATTCTCAATGAAGACAAGTATATGAACCAATTCAGAAAGATTCTCTTGGTAACGACATGTAAATATCATATGGAACATCTAACCTGCTAACAATTTTACAACATGTAAACAACAGAAAGGGTTTTTGTGGACATTATAATAATTTTATTAGTCGAGATCATGATTTAGTTGAAGCTAGACCACCATGGAAAACCTGGAAGCACTGGACGGCTGTTTCTTTCTATTGTGGGACTCCTCAGCAGTGTACATCCACGATCCAACAACAGTTAGTAATTTCAAAGACAATTTAAGAGCCAAAATAAAAACCTTAGAAGATTGAACTCTTAACTTCATCACTTACATTAGACAAACTTTCGTTGAGTCTCTGAATCAGAAAAGAAATCCCCATATAATAAAATACTTTGTACTTAGTAACATATGTTTCGGATCTCCTAGCTTAACTTGATGCAACATAATCAGAAGGGGGTCATACGTTCATTAGTGACTGGCTACATGAGGTAATTCCTGGAGTTGTAGTGAGTAGTCATGACCAATGGAGCTAATCCATGCCAGGCAGAGACAGGTATCCACCTCAGTACAATGGAAGATGGTAGTGTAATTTCGTTGATACAACATAGTTGTCACATTTCTATATAGGTAGGTCAACCTTCACATACGACTGCTTCAGAATATTAAATTCTATCTAATCGGCTTCAGTTTACCTATTTTTAATACGTAATAAAGTGTATGACCAATTTAAAATTTGTCTTTGAGATTACTGATATCTTTTGATATTTCTTCTACATATATTTTAGGCTCGAGTACGTGAACTTGAATCAGAATTCGATGGTGAATCAAGAAGATGTAAAGATGCATTAGCTCAAGCACGTAAATTTGAACGTCAATATAAAGAATTACAAACACAAGCTGAAGATGATCGTCGTATGGTATTAGAACTTCAAGATTTATTAGATAAAACTCAAATGAAAATGAAAGCCTATAAACGTCAATTGGAAGAAATGGTAAATGATTGAAATATTTCAATGAATAATTTCATTTAGTATTGTTTGTTTGAATCTACCCATCGATGTGTTAGGACTGCAACTGGTCAGTCTCTAACACATCTATGGGTAGATTCAAACAAACATTACTTCACCTCATCGCACAAGCAAGTGACTATCAGGACTCAGTGGTCGAGTGGATGACGTGATGGCGTTTGAAGCTAAAGGTACTGGGTTCGAATACTAGAGTGAACTCTGAGATGCATGCACATCCAGCTGATGAGTCCCAAATAAGACGAAACGCGCGTCCTGGATTCCACTGCTAGCCACTATCCATTTTTGATCTCAATGAATAGTTTTATTATGAAATGTTTTGTTCACAATTGACTGATCATTGGGTGGTGATCAATGTCAAGCGTGTCGAGTCTGTCTTATTGCTGATCGAATGCTATCGATCAAGTTGCAATGTGGCTACTAGACTAGGTGACTCGACACTGCGTGCACTATGTTGAGATAAGATGGTGGTTGGAGGTGGTCAACAGGAAACCCTGAACCCGGGTTTCGTGCTACTAGGCATGCATGACACTGATCACCACCCGGTGATCAATCAATTGTGATTACAGCTCAGTCCTACAGGAGGTCGGTCGAGGCCCGAATAGCTCAGTAGTAACGTTTCTGACTGTGAAGCTGAGTGACACGGGATCGAATCTGCCAGGGAGCATCAATTCCCTGAAGATTACAGGTAAACCTTGTTGACGAGTGTCAAGTAGCACGAAACCCGAGTCCAGAGTTTCATGTTGACCACCATCTTACATCAAATGCTTTGTTCATTTTACTTTACTTACTTACGCCTGTTACTCCCAATGGAGCATAGGTCGCCGACTAGCATTCTCCAACCCACTCTGACTTCAGCCTTCCTTTCTAGTTCTATCCAATTCTTGTTCATTCTTCTCATGTCCGTAACCATTTCTTGGCGTAATGTGTTCTTTGATCTTCCTCTCCTCCTATGGCCTTGAGGATTTCATGTGAGGGCTTGCCTTAAGATGCAGTTAGGTGCTTCCAGAACTTTTTCCTAATTTCTTCCTCCACTGGAATCTTGTTTCTTCTCTTCCACAGTAGATTGTTGCTGATAATGTCTAATCATTTATTCATTTTATTAAAAAATTGATAAATATTACCGAACTTTTCCCTTTTTTAAATTACAGGAAGAAGTATCTCAAATTACAATGAATAAATATCGTAAAGCACAACAACAAATTGAAGAAGCTGAACATCGTGCAGATATGGCTGAACGTACAGTGACTGTACGTCGTGTTGGTCCAGGTGGACGTGCTGTTTCTGTAGCACGTGAATTATCTGTCACATCAAATAGAGGAATGAGAGCAACAAGTATGATGTAAAGCACTTAAATAATAATAATAATAATACTATACACATATACAACTGCCTATATCTTTCTCTTTTTTCATTTTCGTTTTCCTCATCTTCGCTTCTTTTAGTCATGATATTCATCTAAATGAGGAAATTATCAATAATGACCTATGATTATTACTATTATTATTCAATGTGCTTTACTTTACTTCCCACCTTGAAACTCCTCGGTATGTCGTTTCCCTTTTTCTTGGTTTTCTTTTTTTTTTTTAAAAAAAATTCCTAAAAGTGAAAGACGAAAAAAAAGAATAAAAACTAACTACTACTACTACTACTACTACTACTACTAATAAACACTATAAGAGCATCCATCATTTGTTCATAACTAGCTTACAAATAATCTAGGCATGAATTGTTCTTTTTTTTAAAAATTTTTTCATGGTTGATAATTATTGTCTCTTGGAGACAACAACCACAGCAACAACCACAATAGCAACAACAACAATAATGTTTCCCCTTCCCCACCCCTCCTGTTTACGATCTATGATATAAGCATAAAATAAGAATGAATTCCTAATTGCTATTTTCCTTTCATTTTAAATTTCGTTCCAATATATATATATATATATATATGAACTGATAGTGTAATAAAAGATGATCATGGAAGATCGTCATATTCAAAGGAACTATGTACTGGATAACTCTATTCTATTGGGTTGATTTTTTTTGGTTTTGTTTTAAAGAAAAGAGAAAAAAAGATCATTTCAATTCATCTTTAGAATTGATTTTTTTTTAAAACTAAAAAATAGGGGGGGGGAATATATATTGAACAACAATTGTTGCGTAATATTCATTTATGTTTCCCATAGCAACAACAACAACAACAACGATAGCAACCAATAAATCAATAAAAAATTTAGATCAAAATAAACAACAATAACAATAAAATATAAACATGATTATTTTATTTATCTTTAAAATGGTTATTATTCATATTTATATTAATATTATCATTATTGATTATTATTATTGATTTTTCTTTCTTTTTTTTTGTTGTTGTTGTTTTATTTAAATTTATTGATTATCCTTATACAAATCACAAACTGATTCCCTTTTTAACATCCCCCCTCTCTCTTTCTCGCTTGCACCCCCCCCCCTCACATACATGCATAGATACAAGCGAATCGAAAAATATCAGGAAAAATTTATCGTTTTTTTTGTCATGTACAACTAAAAAAATTTAGTTATTGCTTTTAACCTTGTTTAGTTTTTTTTTTCTTTTCTTTTTTTCTCTAGAAATTTGTTTCCTCTTCTCATCTTTTCTCTTTGTTCTTTTTATTCTTTTCATTGATTGTATTATTAATATTGCTATTATCGTTATTATTATTGTTATTGCTACCTAACCGATGGTTTCAACAACAGCAATCTCCCATATTTCTACACACACACACATATATATATATATACACATACACACAAAAGTATCTGTGCAATCGTAATAGATAATCTTTATTTATTGATTACGTAATTGGTTCTTTTTTGTGTGTGTCTAAATTCCTTAGATACTACTACTATTAATTAAAGATAAGTAGTATATTTACTTTATATATAAATAGGTCATGAATAAGTAGTATTTATGAGTAGTCAATTGGAAATTAGACTAAATAGATTGAAGAAAAAAATATATATATTTGTATGTGTATTGTTTATTTAATGAAATGTAATGTACTATTATGATTATGTAATGGTTGATGTTGGCATTTCGTACACTTCAATTTGGTTGTTTGTTTAACAGTAAAAATAAGAACATTAGTTGCATTATAAGTAAAGATGGATAATGGCTAGCAGTAGAATTAAGGATAAGGCGCGCTTCATATTATTCAGGACTCGTCAGCTGGATGTACCAACATCTCAGAGTTGATGTTCACTCTAGGACTTGAACCCAGTAAATTTCGCTTCAAACGCCATCGTGTCATTAACTCGGCCACTGAGTCCTGATAGTCACTTGCTTGTGCGATGGAGTGAAGTATAAATTCATTTAGTATTGTTTGTTTGAATCTTCCCATCGATGTGTTAGAGACTGACCAGTTGCAGTCCTAACATATCGATGGGTAGATTCAAACAAACAATGCTCAATGAATCAGTTGCATTATATTTCAAATTACTTCAGTGTGTGTATCTATGATTCTGCCAAGGGATCGAACCCAGAATCTTTAGGTATTACGATGAGTGCTTAACCTTTAGACCACTAATCCAGCATCCCATGGTTTATATGTTTTACTTCTATCAATTGGCGATATTTAGCACAAATGTTAGCACTAGAAAATTAGTTTCAATTAATACTTATTTATTTAAACACATAAATATTGGTACAAACGGGAGCCAGATACATATGCGCCACACAAATCTCATTTGATTTGTGTGAGTGCTACCATACTGCCCAGGTGCCGAAACCGAAGCAGATGGTTTTTTTAGGGGGCCACACCACGAGCCTTTGACCTAAAGATCTAATCCACAAGGAAGTGGAACATCGTGAGGAGATGCAGTCCCGTGGTAGCCGGTAACCAACGATTGATTCATACGCCATTTGTTCTCTTAGGATACTGGAGCCCATGTGCACCATTGGTTTGGAATTAGGGTTTTCCAACTCCTCTAGGTAGACGCGCCGAGTCCAGGAACCCGGTTAAAGCGCCGGACATTCGATTTTCGTCCTAAGAATCTCGTAAACAACAGTAATGCCACGAGAAGGCAGTGAGTAGGACTTCCCTGTCAGAAGCTATATATGCGTGATGATGTGAGTGCATTTCGAGATGGAGAACGTACTCTCCCCACTCTCAGCCGCACCAGGGCATTTGGGGTATAAGAATTTTCGTTTAAATTAGAACGAATATTTTCACAGTATTTGGGCACCGAATTGATGTTAGACATTACAAAGAAAGAATATATTTGTAAAAATCTCAGCGAATAAATTTGTAAATCCAACATTTCGCCTGGCAATCTGGTCCAAACTTTTCAAGGAAATATCTCTTTGAAAAATCTTTAACCAGATTGCCAGGTGAAACGTTGGATTTAACTTCAGTGAATCATTTACTGCTAAGTTATGTGATTTTTTACTTTCATGATGTTTCTGGCAAAACTTCTAGTGAACGCTGATTGGATAAAATCGTTTTTAATGTTTCCTGAGCCTTTCTTGTCTTTTGCGAGAAATATTCTAGATCACACCAATACAAATACACTATATACTCAATAACTCATCCAATCATTTTAACAAAACTGAATGTGGAATGTAGTGTAGAATGTATGAGCTTTTTAGTGTGCATTTTGAAGAAATTGTAGTAAGATAGTAAGTGTATGAATAAGTAAGTAGATCTGATGTGAGCAACATTCATTGACCATGGTGAAGCTTTTAAAGAGAATGATGCCGAAGCCACTTTGGTTGCAGCACGAAGCTTTAGGTCTGTTACACAAATAACCAGAGCTCGCCTAACAATTAATCGGAACTAGACATATAGATAGATTCTACGAGGCTGGATGTAATCTTCATCACGTTCTATTCAAGCTAGTCACGTGTTCTTGATCCTAGTTGTAGCGAAGGTCAGTACAATAGACACTCGGAGGATATTTAGTGTATGTGTTCGTCTAAGCTAACGAGACCTGTTAAATTTTATGTATCACCCACCTGTGTAGACAATAAAAACTTTCAAAGCTTCTCAGTACAATTCATTAGTTGAAAAACTGAACGGTTATATAATCCTTCTTAATGGTGTAATTATTCATCTAGCCGTGTAAACGTAATTCCACCTGTAGCTTTTCTAGAGTTACTACCGATCCCAAGCCCAGGTAAAGGAGGAGGATTGGGCATGGGGTTAGCGATTCCATCCCGTAGAAAACTAACTCTCTAAAAAAACGCTAACCAGAAAAAATAATTTAAACGTACTATAAATAGCCCATTATATATCATTAGTGTTGGTTGATTATTTAATTGCATAGAACATTACTTTTCTATTTATTTATTTATTTAAAGGACATTCGCTTTTCGTCCTCTCAACTTCGCAAACAACACCCCTGCCACAAGAACGCAGTGAGTAGGACTTCCCTGTCAGAGGCTATAAACGCGTGTCCACTAGAGAGCATTTGGAGAGGGAGAGCAGAATCTCCCCACTCTTAGCCGTAACAGGGCATTTGGGGGGCAGACTGTGAAAACATCAAGTTTTCAGTCAAATAAATTACTAAATTCTATCTGTTCATCATCTGGTTGAACATTTTACTGTGGGTATCACATAAACTTATGTGGATATATCCTGTATTATCCCCATTATTACAATCCTATTCATGTGATTTGATAGATATTCTGTGAATTGATGAATTTATCCTCGAATTAATGTAACAACTGTTTGCTTTGAAAATGATATCAATCCAATTAATGAATCCTATTTATATTATATGAATAGTGTATACCATGTAGTATTCCAATCTCCCATTTTAGGGGGGAACTTTGGGCTTTTCCCCGAAATCGTGAAAATTTCGGCAGTTTTCTCCAACGTTTAGAGAAAAACCCCAAACTGTCATAAGATTCTATAGAAATATTAGGGAAAATCCAAAATTCCCCCCCCCAAAAAAAAAGCTTTGGGCATTTTCTTTAGACTTGGGGAAATTTTGGGGGTTTTGTACCATTTCCCCCAAAGTTTTCTATTATAGCTGTTATTATCCTGTGAAGATTTATGAATGGTAACTTAGAGGACTATTTATGGGTCAATGTGATATGGATATTTTCTATTGTACAATTGCTAAGTAACTTAACTATGCATATTCGTGTCTCTCTTATTATAGGATTTATTTTGACCCATAGATTATTACTATACAATTTACCATTCTTGAGTTATACCCAGTCTATTGATTACTGCCTCCCACATTCACAGCCACATTTGGCTGAATCTTGTAAAAATGTTATTTTTTATTTTATGATACGATATGGTCAGTTTGTTTGGTATATAAACTCAGTATGTTTGAGAATAATGATTTATATTGCAGAGGCTATTATTGGTGTTTTGGACTTAATTGGCTGAGCTAGGCAAATAGCAGGACCAGCAAGCACTCAAGACTGTTCATACGGCTTTTGCATATCATTGGGTCCGAACGATAAAATCGCTACTCTCCCATTGGCGGGGAACATCACGTCATATACTAAACACGGCACGTACGTAGTCACTCAACCAATATATCAACAGCTTCCTCAAAATTTACCCTAAAACGGACAACTATGAGTATACTGAAATGTCCACAAAACCCCTTCTGATTATAATCATATGCTCACTAGTGACTGACTTCAAAAGATATTTCCTGGAGTTCTAGTGAAAAGCATTGACCAGTGGAGTTCAAACAACGTCTGTTGTGAGATATCAACTCACTGAAGACAATCGGTGAAATGGTTGCTCAACTTCGTGGATCAATTGAAGTTAGACATTAACACCATTGGATGCCGGCTCAGTGCTCTGGCGCAAGACTGATAGCTACTGGGTTGGAATCTGGCGAACCGGGATCGTAGATACGCACTGCCACTGAGGAGTCCCACAAAAAGGACAAAACGGTCGTCCAATGCTTCCAGGTTTTCCTCAGTAGTCTAGCTTCAATGGACTCATACTTTTAACTATGAAAAATTTCTCCCCAAAAGATAGAAAGATTGAGATACCATACATTGTTGACCTAATTATTGATATCATAGAAATGATATTTAAAGTAGATTAGTTAAATGTTAATCCTATTTAAAGAATTCAAATATGTTTCTTTTATTAAGTTTATAATTAATAATAGTTTTGCCATTTAAAGTTTAAACATTAATAATAATAATAGGCATTATATCATTAACCTATAATCTATTCTACTTTATACTTGACACAGTAACTAAATCGTGTATCCTGTTGACATTTGTAAACTACTAATTTTACTTAGTTACAAAATATAGTTGCTTTTTTTAGTTTGAAAGGAGGGAGACTTTTCCTTCCATACATCATCTAATATTTGTTTGGGTCATGTTCAAACTATAATTTATTCGTAACATATAAATGTTAGTACAAGAAGGCACCAAATACATATGCACCATACAATTCACTTGATTTGTGTATGGGCTGAGATACTTCTCAGATGCCCAGATCGAAGCAGGTGGTTTTACTAAGACGGGGGACACATCCAGAGCCTTCGATCTAATGATCTGATCCACATGGTGGTGGAACAACGTAAAATGATGCAGTATCATGCTAGCCGGTGACCATTAATTGGTTCATACGCCATTTGTTCTATCAGGATACTGGAGCCAGCCCATGTGAACGATTGGTTTGGAATCAGGGTTTTCCAACTCCCCTAGCAGTATCCTATGTGTTCACCAAGCCGGTTAAAGAACCGGACATTCGTTTTTCGTACTCTCAATTTCGTAAACAACAGTAGTGCCACGAGAAGGCAGTGAGTAGGACTTCCCTGTCAGAGGCCATGTGAGAGCATTTGGAGAGCGACAGCCGACTCTCCCCACCCTCGGCTGTACCAGGGCATTTCGGGGCATATTCAAACTGACATCGAATAAGTCTTTGTAATGGACTAAAAAATATCGGCCCTTCAAATTAGGTTAAAACTGAGAATATGTTAATGGTATAAAACTAGATTTTTGACAACTAATTGTTTTCTATTGTGATGTTTTTTTGTAAAAATTGAAGAAGGAATTTTGTCAGAAGATAAAGGCTAAATATCCCAGCAACTTTTCACAAAAATTTATCAAGAAAAAACTTATCGATGCATTATTTCTTTATACAGGTACAACTAATTATAGTTAAGTCACTGGGTAAGTAATAGTGAGGTTAGATACAGGGTATTAGGGAATGATGGTAAATCAGTTGATGAGGTTGTGAATCTTCATCAACTGAGATGGTTAGGCCATGTGTTATGTATACCTGAACACCGATTACCACGACACACAATCCTGACTAGTGTAGGGGATGGTTGGAAGAGAGTTAGGGGCGGTCAAACTAGAACATGACATCAGTGCTAGAAGTCGCTAACTTCTAGTCTGAGTCATGTTGGTAGATGCAGACTAGTTGGTTGGGGTCCGCGTGACTATCGTAACCAATGGTTGGAGACTCTAGGTAACATGGATCACAATGGTGTAGGTGTATACATTCTTTATCTTCCCTTAAAACCTTGAGATTAAAATTGCTTCATATCTTTCTTCCTTCCTATACTATATCCCTGCATACAACCTTTCTTTTATATAATACCACCACTAAATTAACTATTTCTATGAATCCGGTGTTCATCTTGTTGAGCTAACGAGTTATGGCAACTTGGACTGTTGCATATTTGTGCCTGGTCCTACGTTGCAGCTGACTGACTGACTAAGTTAAAGTTATACTTTAAATTTCATTGAATATACCGAAAGAATGGCAAACAAAATTGTGAGCGGAAATATCACTTTGAACTTATTTCACACACACACACACACTTAATGTTCATTATCCAATTCCAAGTAAAATCTTTACTGATTGATATAAGCGAATAAATAATGCGAAGTAATTTCATGTTTATCTCTTAAATATCCAAAACTATGTATGACGAATATCATTTTGTAGTGTGCTACTGATGTCGACAAATATAAGTAGTATGTCATCAATCGAAAGTGAAATGCCTGGAGGGAGATCGAAGAAAAGAGAATGAGAACAGAAAATGTTTGGTGTGGAAACGAAGGAATAGTGAAGCTTGAGACGATTGATCTTTGCTTATAATGCCTGCGCATTAAGGTTATAACTAGGTTATTCGCACAGTATGCACATATGCCAATAAGAGATTGATCAATTGCAGTCCTAAGCATCAGTTGGAAGATTCAAACAAACAAAACCAAGTGAATTTAACTGTTGAATAGTTCAGACATTTATTAAAGATCAAAATTTTGAAATTCGATCTACCAACAGAAAGACGTTGTATTTTGAACATTAACATTGAAGTCGCATTCCTAACTATTAGTTTAGGACTCGATCTCCACAAAATGTATTTCATTTGAAGTCAAGTTGGTTTTTCTTTGATGGTTGTGATAAAAAAATATGCTGACTGAGTATTTATTGGCATAACCATACGTTTGTAAATCAAGTATAGTATCATCTACTACAGTGTAGTTTCCAGCCATCAATCAGAGGAAAAGGATATTTGCTCGTCAGTGACTCTTGATGTGGTTGACACCAGCAAGTATCATAGTTATACATTCTGTACAGTTGATAACAATACTGGAGCATACTTTCCCGTTGATACAGGTGCGACCAGTGCTAATAGCTTGAATCTGTGAAACGTAAGTACTGGTTTCCTGAAACCTGTCTCAAAACTATGTAGCCTTTTAATATTCGAACACTATGTCAAATCAGACAACAGGTTACATTAACTAGGACTAGAATCTCGTGTCATCGATCTCTGCTGTCACCGAATCCTGTATACAAGATCCAAAAAGGGTCATCCACTTGAGAGTACAGAGATCCCGCAAGACTCGATCTTCGTGCATGTTAGAGGCAAAGGAGCAACTTCTCATGTCTGACAATGTAGGTTTGGCATTAGGTCTGAAAGTCAAACAGGTAATGCTTTCTGCCAAAAGTTACTTGGGTACTGTCCGACTAAATGGTACAGTAAGAACTCAACAATACCACGTTAAATGTTTTCAATCAACGGCTCCTACACCTTTCATTTATCTGTACCAGCTTTCGCACAGTTCAGTTGACCACAATAGGTCGCATTTACAACGCTGCTATTTGAGCAGTTTTGCTACATGTTTATCGAACCTGGCCTACCCAAAACGGGGATGTGTTACTCGGTGTTGCCATCCTGAAAAGTTTTAGTAGCTTTCATAGTGCACATAACTTACCGACCTCAGGAAATACCTAAGCAATGGTCAGCTTATGATATGGCGCCATGCAGTAAAGGACAGTTGTATTAGATTGGAGCTCTTCCGTTCACTAAAACAACCGTAGATAGGATTTTAGTAATCGAACATTCCAGCAAATTCAGAAGTTACAAAACATTATTTTGAGTAGAAGTTAGTGATGATCCTGGTATGCTTTGCTACCACGCTCCTAATAAACAGTAAGATAAACCCTGCAAATAAACGAAATCCATCTTGGTTGTTTTTACTCGAAATGTATATTTTAACACTTGTCATTCCCTGATACTTATATTCTCCTTCCTATCTCTTTACAATATTGTTATTTTTATACAGCAAACTTCTTTTTGCACTGTTAGATCAAGTATTTTTGTGACATAAATATATAAAACCTCGTACCAACCAAACTCTGAGATTGTCAGAATACAAGAGGGGAACATTTTTAGAAAATATAGACAGAGAAACTTGGAAAAAAGCGCGAACTTGAACGTGTAGGTAATACGATCGCTTTTAAAGGCAAAAGACAGTGAAAAGAAATCAACTGTGCGTCTAATAATTAGTTGTAAAACATAGATTACAGATAAAACTTCATGAGCCTCCAAATGCCCTGGTACGGCAGAGGGTGAGGAGAGTCAGTTTTCCTTCTCAAAATGCTCTCACATGGCTACATGCGTACAACCACTAACAGGGAAGTCTTACTCACTGCCTTCTCGTGGCACTTGTTTACGAAATTGAGAGAACGAAAAGTGAACATCGAGAACTTCAACCAGTTTGGTGGATATGGAGGATCCAGTTAAGAGGAGTTGGGAAACCCTGATGATTCAAACCAATGATGCACATGGGCTCCAGGATCATAAAGGAAGAAATGACGAATGAACCAATTATTGGTCACTGGCTACAATGATACTGCATCATTTTACGTTGCTCCACCACCATGTGGATCAGATCATTAGGTCGAAGGCTCCGGGTCTGTACACCTGGGCAGTATCCCAAACCACATACAGATTGAATGACTTGTGTGATGTATATGTATTTGGTGCCTCCTTGTACCGATATTTATGTGTTCAAAAAAATAATAAATAAATAAATAGATACAATTTCATGAAGTGAAATAGTTAAACGTGAACATTGTTCGAATTCACAGTCTGTACAAAGTGTAAATTAAGGGATAATACTATGATGTACTACATATTTTAACAAATCAGTAGAGAATCTATTATCGTAATCCATTTCACATGTCTTGAACTTGAATGATTATCTATCACACAACTACTATTTAGAAGGCGTCTTGTAACCCATATGAACTGATACAATACCATTTGAATAATTAATCCAATCAACAGCATGAAATCCTGATTGTGTAATTATATGCGCGAATTCCTCCTGGTCAGGAAATTTACGAATGCTTTCAACTAAATATTTGTATGAATTCCAATCACCTGCAATAAGTTGACCAATTACAGGTATTAACTGCATAGAATATGCATTATATAATCTGGAATAAAAAAAAACAAGTATTTCGGAAAGTGATAGTAATTAGGAAATTATGGTTTTAAAGCTTATTTTTTAAAATATAACTAATTTGCATATTTAACAGAAACGAGGTGTGACGGCAGTAAGGTTTTTCCTTCAGACAACCAGCATAACAGCGATGCTGCCTTCCCATAATGAGGGGTGGGGTTAGAAAAGGTCGACCCTAAAAATGTACACATCACCTTATCCCATGAATATCTGTCTACGACAGCAAGGTCCCAACAAGTACGGAGCTAACACAAAAGTTACTAACAAAAAGGTCGTGTGTGACCGACCTCAAGCAGTTGTCCCTTGGGCACTGCGGTCATGCTCTCAGGTCATTAAGACCGCTTCTAATCCAATTTCCTTTTCGGATACCTCTAGAAGAACCCTTCCACGGTGTGGGCAACCGGGAAGTAATAACTGCCCTTATACCTCTAACAGCACTCAAGATCACTGTATTCATAATCAATCTCCTTCAATTTTTACTATTCATTCTACCTCGACTGGCAGTGTTCTCGATGTCGTAATTATGATGTACATAAGTGCAATCGAACGTAGTTTGAATAGGAATCACTACATTTAACCCAACAAAAAGTAGAGATGTCATTTATTTGTGAAGCAACGAAATGAAAGGAATTACAACTAAGTGCAATTTTGGATCGATCATCCTCCAGCTTTTGCAAATTATATTATCAACTAAATGGTATTTACAGCAAACTGTCTAGGCATACATCGAGATAATAGCCAACGTCAGGTACGTTGGAAAATATTTTGGGACTTACTAGTCGTACAACAAATAGAGGAGATTATTCTATGAAGACCACACCATGAGTTGAACTAATAAAAACTTACTACTTAGTCATTATTAATACTTCATCCCATTTAACAACTGAAACCTGAATTCAAGCAAATCATAGCGAAGTTATCGATAAGTACCTATGCAAGTAGCAAGTGTATTAGTACGCCTAAATTTCAGTAGCAAGCACGGTCATTGTTTTCGAGTCTGTATTAATAAGAAAAATACAGATAGATAACCAGGGTACAATCGGAACTAATCATTAGTTAACCAGATGGCATATACGGTCATTTATTGCAATAACAAGATGCAAAACGGACAATAAATTCACTCGTTTTCGGTTAATATTATGGTGTTAAGAGATAGGATTTGTGAAACCCTAAAAACTTATTCTTCGCAACAGTTAATAAAGTAGTGAACATACATGCCAAAAAGGACAAATAGATTACTTAAAAACTCATAACAAAAGCGAAGGTAACTACAGAGTGTGACGATAATCAGGAAATTTTCAAGATCATCTGAGCAAATCATAACAAAAGGGTCCATGGTGTGACATTTTGAAATGTAGTGAACGATAACTTTTGATGATGCTTGGTACATCTGGTACATCAAAATGGGATATTTGGCCTAGTACAACAACAGATACAACATACTTCCATGTTTTAACACACTATCAACGAGGGGTCAATATTTATAGAAGTGACGAGTGTCCCAGAGACTTATTTTGTACTTTAGAACAGATGTTTACAAATGACCATCGCCATCTAATGCATGACCCGACGTTTCGAAGAGTGAATATAGATTTTGAAACAGTGTAGAAAAGTGTTCAATATGGCATGGCCTTTCAGGGTCGCTTCACTGACAGTAAAATGTGATATAATTTCCACAGAAACCATAAGGATATTCGCCAAGGAAAAGTTGAGGGACAATATGTTAACTAGAATATTAATTGTAAACAAAGAATGCGTTCCCTATGAAGATAACTAACTTTCTGAATAAGTTATTTTCAACTTTGCTAAATTCCAAACAGTAAAATCGCCCCCAGGGACGTAGAACTCGATAAGCTTCTGAAACAACCTAGAAAAATCATGAAACGAATATAGATAATTCTACCTTTTCAATATGTGTGCAATTGCGTATTCCAAAAGCAATAGTATAAACGTCGAATGAATTATCATCAAATGGGAGGTTTTCAGCATTTCCTTCAATCCACTGAACTTGCAAAATAATGATGACATAAATGTCAGAATAATGAGCATACTGGAAGAAAACCCCAATTCTTCCGCACGTGATTTCCCTACTTCCATCATGGATGGACTAATATCACAAACTGTGACGTCGGGAGCCATGAAAGGTTTCATATCCATAACTTCCGGCACTCCATTAATATGTTTAGCATACTTAATCAACCTAAAGGCAATATCACCTATAAAGATTGAGGTTATACATAGGCATAAGTAAATAAAACTAACCTGTTCCGCCTGCAACATCTAAGTACTTGAGCTTATCTGTTGGCATAATTCGGTTTACAAAGCAATCTTTCCAAAAACGGTGAACACCAAAACTCATTATGTCATTCATCAAGTCATATTTTTTGGATACGTTCTCAAACACATGATTTACTATTTAAGGATGAAAAAACATGGTAAAAGTGATAGGTTTATTAAAACACACCTTTCGATTGTTTATCCTTGGTTTCTACTGTTTCAAACCCAAAGTGTGTGGTTGACAGAAAGCTCTTCTGTGCACTCATCAATCGAAACTTACAAAGAGCATTTTGGATGTGGCATGAAAGAACGCTCATCTTCTGAAATACGCTGCAATAAATAACACAGAAAAGTTGTGCGTAAATTAAGACAGGTCTGGCAGAGCTATTAAGACGCAGAATGATGCAGACCAGTTTAGTAGTCAAAGTTCTCATTCAACCTAACTGTCTGGGCACAATTCAGAGGCCAATCCGCTAACTAGTATTACCATCATTCTGAATGAACCAGAATATTACTAAATTATCATCTCCAAATTCTCATTTTATATGTACCACTCTCTCATCATTCTTGTTTCTTCCTCCCAGCCTATGTTGCTCCATGATATTTTAATAGCCGGTGTTTACAACACTGACCTTGGTATTTAAGTCCTGAATCAGGATGGTCAGGTTTTTCGGGAAGTTCTCTACGATGAACTGGAATTATCACCTCTGCTAAAATCATTGATGACTGAGCAACACCACATGTCATTTATTGCAACCCTCTCTTTGTTTCGAAGGGTGGTTTAATGACCACGGAGCAACGAGATTCTCATTATATGAGCGCCGCTCGTGCTTCTTTGGAGAGCATCAGCGAGCCATTTCCTCCTTCATGACCAATAGCACCTCTCCCGATGTTGGTCTTATCTGTCCAACGTTTCCAATGAGTTTCACTTACTCCAAGCAGACTAAGGTTCTGTCTTCTCATTCCCACCACTATTAGGATGATCCTTACGGTCTCCAACATTTTGCGGACATTCCATGTGCTTATATTAGTTGTTGCGCTGGTTATAAGAAGGGGGTGACGTTTGTGAGAAAGGTTATTTTTGCGGGATGTGGTTGCTAACCCCATTCCCAACCCTCATCTTTTACCTGGGCTTGAGGCCAGAAGTGACCCAAGAAAGGCCTTAAGCAGTAATCAACGTAAAATGTGTTTACTAGCAAAACGACTCATTAAATACATAAAATGTTATTGGGAACATAAACGATTTCAGGATACCAGTCATGTACGTAACTCGTTTTTCAAGATACGATTATGAAGCTTGATTCTTACCATCTATGTTGCAAGTACACTCAAACACCATCCAAAAATATATTGGCCCTGTAATCTATGTTAAGCAAGTAGTGCTTTTCGACCGAAAAGTCTTCAATGCTCACTATGGTGATGAAAGGTAGTTTTGAAAAATAATGAAGTTTCCTATTTGGAACTGAAAGTTTTATAAATGATCAGGTATGAAGTCTCTAAAAACCAGTTAAAGTGGGGACTCATCGAAATACACCAGGCAAACATTTCTTGTGAATTACCGCACTGTCTTAAAATGACCAAATAATCACATTTTTAACTTTGAGGTCCATATATAGTGCTAAATACGTGCAACCAATAAAGAGGAAAATGCATTGGAAAAGAAAGTGGAAATAATGTGAAAATGCACCAGAATTTCTGCTTTTACGCATGTTATGGGGAAATAATGTAGAATTCCCCCTTTTTTGTCGCTGTATCAAATGTTGCAGATAGTCTACTTTTCGCCTAAATACTTAACACACGCTTGATTAAACGCTTTACTATCCACCTTTTCACAAACTGCAATGTCTTCTGTGTTTGCCTTTAATTCCAAAACAAACCACACGACAACTGCAATGAATAACGTTAAAAAATGTACATGTTTAAATTTTATTTACTTATTTAAACACATAAATATTGGTACAAAGGGGTACCAGATACATATGCGCCACACAAATCTCATTTGATTATGAATAGCGGACAGATGCTCGAACAACGATCGTTATAAGGGACAAGTTTGCACATCAACAAAATTCATTGGATTATTTGTTCGTATCGCAGATGGCCATGCTAACGCGGTTAATGGATGATAATCCTAAAACGTTTATGCGCTATATTTTGTCATACATCATGACACCTGGAGTTGCCAGCCACTTTACTCTACATGGGATTTCGTCTAAAAGAGCCCTTCAGAAGTGCAGGATTTACGAGTGCAAACGAAGCAAGAAATCTTTTTTTTAAATCTTCAGGCTCATTAACAACTCGGTTCCTGCCCTTATCCGTCAAAGAAAAACAACTTGCTAAAGGTATTTTCGCGACGAGACAAACTGCAAAAGCGTCATCGAATAAAATGAGGATATGCATGTACTTCTGTAAAGTTATAAATATTCTCTGCTGTTCTATAGGCACAGTGTTCAGTGTTAACGAACATAACTGTTAAACTTCACGTAGACAGTTGTTTAACAAACTATGGCAGCTAGATGTCGTTGCAATTTTTGTGTTCATTGAACTTCAGAATTCACAGGAAGATTACTTTGGGACGCAGTAATAAAACTGTAGTTTAAGAAAGGCATCACTGTTGAAGTGCTTTTTTTAACTTAGTATTCAATTAGGCTTTTTCTTACCATGCGCTGAATTTCTGATTTGTATGTGGAATTCTTTAAGCGTATGCTGTAAAAATCTGTTTTATTTTAAATACGCTTATAATTAAGTGCACGCGCCGAATCAATAACCCATAACCTGTTCTTTCTTTAGCAAGTCTTCGCAAATTACATAAAGACTTGGCACTTACAATGAGAATGCATAACGATCGTTGTTCGGGCATCTGTCCGCTATTCACAATCTTGTGCAAAATAATATTTTTCAATGATCTTCCATTCTTAACGTCGATTGCAGTAAACGATTCGGCGTATATTTAGGCGAAAAGTAGACAATTTAGGGAAATTTAAAATACAGTTGATGAAAAGCTAGAAATCCACACTACTTTGCCCCGTCATGCAAAAAAGCAGACATTCTGGCGCATCTTCACATTATTTCCCCTTCTTTCCGAACGTATTTTCTCCTTTATTGGTTGTTTGGTTTGCTTGTATATCCTAACAACATGTGGTACTTAACGAAAATTCGGAAAAACAAAGCGAAGAATGCTATTGGAACACTTGGAAATTCATAGTAAACAGATTTTAGGAAACTAAAACAGAGTCTGTAGGAAGACTTATGGAACTCATATGACCACCACCAGTGTAACGACTAGATCATTATTTGGCGCTTACCTTTCAATGCCTAATATTCAGCGCGGATTGCAATAAGCTTGTTTGGGCCAGATGATTTCTCCGTTCTCATACCTTGTTGTTATGGTGAAGTCTCATGCAGTGGTAGTAGTCTATTCACTTGACTGCTTTAGTCCTAATGAGTTCGACGGTTATTTGTGGGTTGATACGTCATCCCTCACTCAACTACCAGAATCCACAAACTCTCCTACTACTTCCGACAGATCGCAAGCAGTGGGTCCAAGAGCAAGCTCCTCAAAGCCTTGAAGAAGTATTTTTTCAATTCAAAGGACTAGTGTACATGTGTTACTAGTGTACACTCACATCAACCTATTATGCTTCGATAAAGGTCAATGATTTCGTACTTGTTGTTAATTAACTTTGCTTTTGCACATTTATGGCATCAACAGCATATTTTGTCAACCTTAATTTAAACTATTTCGGTCAACGTCAAGAATTTTCCCTAAACCCATTTTGTGGAACTCTTTTTTAGTAGATCCTTGTAGTGTAGTGCTTCGTTAATCGATCGTCTTGATAATCGTTATTATAACAATCTGAACGGTGTATAATATCAGAAGACAAAGGGAAGCAGCAACTACATTTTTATTGATAACTAACATGGGCTAGAAGGCAGTGAGCACATTAGCAAATGTAAGCAAGCGAAGGAAAGATGACGCAGAGTGGAGATGGCTGGGAAGCCAACTCGTTATAAGCAAGCATTAATCAACATTTATAGTCAAGCTAAAATGAATGATAGACATGTGATAGGTAGGATAAGAAGTGTGCATACACATACGCTCATATAAAAAAATAGTCAAGGTCAATTAGGGAATAATTAATATGATCAAAATATGACTCATAACGTTATAGGTGAATTGGCTTGTCCAGAAACTAGAATAAGCTATGTAGGTGTAATATAGTACACGACGTTACACTACTCCCCACATAGCTCCCCCCAGAGTGTCCGGAGGAAACACTGTTATGCAAAATAAACAAGGGGGAGGAGGTGTATATGCGTTCACAAACCAAAATTAAAGTATTAGCACATTAATTTGAAAATAACACTGAAATGGCATATGGATAACGTTAATAATATGTAGAGAGAAAAAATTGTACTATATCGAATAAGTTACAGTGTCAATGGAGGGGCGAGTTTATTAAACGAAAATGTCACACTTATGTGAAAATGTACATGAAAATTGTCAAAATGAGGACAGAAATGGAAATGTTAGCATGTGATTATGAGTAAATTAGTAAGCGTACAAAAAATTTAACATGCATTTATGTCGTCACTGTCCGGATGATAAAATAACATGTTTGTATGAGCAATTCGAAATATCGTGAAAATAGAGCAACAAATTGTTTATGGGTATGACAGCGGAATAAATCGTGGAAATAAGTAATGTAGAATATAATTAAAATTGGTCTGTAGTGCCGATTGAATATGAGAATGAAGAACAGTGAAATATGATGTTCTGATAAGTCGCAGTAGAGTAAATAGAGTCGCTTAGCGATGAGTGTATTCGAATTTACATAACTGAAGTTTATGTGGGATAAGAAGTAATCCAGCCGTAGGAAGATGACTGCATCAACAGGTGGTATTCATTGCTGTACTGCAATTGATTATGATAATAAAATGCGAAATCAGCGTGCGCTAACGCTTGCGTTGAGTTATCGTTAAATATGTATCAGTAGAATGACCAGAGGAACAGGATAGTGACTGCTTAGACGAGATATGCGGAGTCGTATTCCTTTTTGGTCTAGAAAAACGGATGCTACAGTCTCAGCTGATGTGTCTTTGATGGGGCATGCAATGGCCCATCGAGTGAATCTGTCTATTGCCGTGAGAATGTGAGTAAAAGAATTTGACGAAGGTAGAGGTCCTACTAAATCTAAATGGATATGCTGAAAACGTCTATCAGGAATAGGAAATTCTCCAATTGGGCTAATAGTATGCTTTTGGATCTTACTACGTTGACACTGAAGGCAACCACGTGTCCAACGTTTAATATCTGAATTGATTTTCGGCCAAACAAAACGTTCAGTTATCAGCTTTCTAGTAGCTCGGATGCCCGGATGTGATAAACCATGCAAGTGTTGGAATAACTTTTGGCGACATGCAAGTGGAACAAAGGGACGATTGTTACCTGTTGATGTGTCACAGATGATGGATGCGTCGGAGAATGGGATGGGTACAGGTTGGAGATTCAGGCGAGACTTTTCTTTGCAGGTTTTTAGCTCTGCATCGTCTGCTTGAAGTTTTGCGATTATTTCTAGGTTGACGTCATGGTTGGATGCAACTACATTGATGTCTTTTCTCGACAACGCATCTGCTACAATGTTGGAGTGACCTTTGATAAACTGAATGTCTGTGGTGAATTGTGAGATGTAATCAAGCTGTCTTGCTTCGCGTGGTGAATGTCTGTCATACGACATACTAAAGGAGTAGCACAGGGGTTTGTGATCCGTCATGATGGTAAAATCCCGGCCCTGTAGCAAAAAATTGAAGTGTTTAACGGCTAAATACATGGCTAAGAGTTCACGACCGAATGTACTATAACGCTCTTGTACAGGTGATAACCTTTTAGAGAAGAAAGCAATGGGTGTAATCGTATTGTTTACTCGTTGTTGTAATACTGCCCCTACGGCTTTTTGTGATGCGTCCGTACAGAGGATCAGATGAGTTTTGGGGTCAGTATTTAGATGTTGTAGCATGGTGGCGTCAGCAATCAAAGATTTGGCTTTTTCAAATGCCGTTTTGGCATCGGAAGGTAACTTGAATGGTTGATTCTTTTCCTTTTTGCTACCTGATTTATCGTTTTTTAGTAAGTCAGTTAACGGTTGTAGAACGTCGGCACAGTTAGGTAAAAATCGATGGTAAAAATTGAATGCACCCAGGAAGCGACGTAATGACTTAACCGAAGTGGGTTCAGGATAGTTGATGACGGCTTCAACTCTCTTTGGTAGAGGTTTAATACCTTGTGCATCAATATAGTGTCCTAAGAATTCTAAGGCAGACGTACCGAATATGCATTTAGTAGGGTTGATAATTACGCCATATTTCTTGAATCGTTCAAAGAGAATCTGCAGATGATGGACATGTTCTTCAAGTGAGGAGCTGGCAATTAGGACGTCATCGATGTAAACAAATACGAAATCTAAACCTCGCGTGACTTCATCCATAAATCGTTGGAATGTTTGCGCAGCATTCTTAAGCCCAAATGGCATCCTCAAGAATTCAAACAACCCAAAAGGTGTGGTTACAGCTGTTTTTTCAATATCCTCAGGTGCCACTGGGATCTGATGATAAGCTCCAACTAAGTCTAGTTTTGAAAAGATCAGTTTACCGTGCAGGTTTAGTGAAAAATCATGTAGATGAGGAATAGGGTATCTGTCTGGAACTGTCTGATTATTCAGACGCCTATAATCTCCACAAGGGCGCCAATCTTGATCTTTTTTGGGAACCATGTGCAGTGGCGAGGCCCAAGGGCTATTAGACTGTCGGATTATCCCTAGTTGCATCATATGTTCAAATTCTCTTTTAGCGGACTGCAACTTATTGGGTGGTAGTCTCCTCGCCTTGGCGCAGATAGGTGGACCAGTTGTAGTGATAGTATGTTGAACATGGTGTGTGGAGTTTTCAGTTTGATAATCGGCTTTTGTTATACATTCATACTTCGATAGAAGATCGGCAAAAGTTTGACTATCAGGTCTAAGCAATCGGACACCATAAGTTTCATAATTGCAGGTGATTGTTCCGTTGACCTGTAGACTTGTATTCACGTCGATAAGTTTCTTTTTTCTCATGTCGACAAGGAGATTGTAGTTACTAAGAAAATCGGCTCCAAGGATGGGTTGTTTAACTTCAGCGACGATGAAAACCCATGTAAAACGTCTACGGAGACCGATGTCTAAGATGAGTGATTGCTCGCCATACGTTTTAATAATAGAATTGTTTGCTGCCACTAATGATAATTTAGCGTGTTGGGAGTGCCGTCGTCGGGATAGATGAAGTGGGAGTATGCTTATTTCGGCTCCAGTATCGATTAGAAAATCCGAGCCCGAAATACGATCCCTGACATGAAATAGACGGCTTGAGTTGTGGCCAGAGTCAGGCGCCGCCATTACTGCCTGGCCGGACCGTTTCCCTGGTTATCAGTGGTGGGTGAGGGGAATGCACGCGGGCGTGTACAACGCCGTGCTTTTGTGCCGAATTTAGTATGATACCAACAAATTTCGGGTGTTCGTTTAGGTGAGCGAGATCGTGGTCTAGAACGTGATCTCTGTCTAAAAAGGGGTCTTATTTGTCTGGCCTGAACCGTTGCTACAGTGGTTTGAAGGGACTGAAGTTGATTCGTCAATTGAGATAACTGTCTTTGAATAGAGTTCAAGTAACTGACATCAGCTGCTCCATACGGTTGCATCGTATTTATATAGTGATTATCATGGCAGACTTCCATTACCTTATCCGCCATATCAGCTAAATCATCGAGAGAGGAGGACTTCCCCAAGGCACTTAGGATTTGTCTGACACTGCGTGGTAATCGATTGAACCACATTTGTTTGAGGAGGGCTTCGTCTAGTTTATAAGGGCCTGCAAGTTGTTTCATGTGTCGGAGTAGTTGGGAAGGTCTTTTGTCTCCCAGATCACATGCATTCAAAAGTTGTTGTAATCTTGTCTCATCTGAGACTGTTGTTCGCTGAATTAAAGCCGCTTTTAATTTATCATACGGCTCGGTTTCAGGAACCTGGTCGATAAGGTCTCCTACTTCGGCCGCAATTTCGATCGGGAGTGAGCCAACTACATAAGCGTACTTAGAAGCTTGGGAACGTACGCCCCTGGACTGAAATAAGGCTTCAATTTGAGCAAACCAGATTCTAGGATTATTTACTCCATATGGTGGAAGCTTAAATTCAGAAATGGCGTTGACTGGACTGAATGTACAGTCGGTAAAGTTAGATGATGAACTATGAGTGGTTAC